CAACTTTACAGCCTTGCCTGAGTCCAAGGACCCACCTGCATTCTAATGGAGTCCAAGGAGACCATCTTGACAGTCCATGCATCTCACTGGCCCACTACATTGATATGCTGAGTGAATCTGATGAACAGGAAACAGCAAATACTTTAGATGCCTTATTAATGAGCATATGAATCAGAGGGTGGGAAAGAATCACCATCAAATTTCAGGGCCTCATCACCTCAGCAACATTTCTGGAGAGCTAATGGTATGGGGTGTGTATGGATAATTGCCTCCAAAGAACAGTGGTGCTTGGCGCATGCCTGTAATCCCAGCAGCTTGGGAGGCTGAGGTAGGGGGATCGCAAGTTCAAAGTCAGCCTCAGCAACTTAGCAAAGCCCTAAGCAACTCAGGGAGACCCTGTCTCTAAATAAAATATAAAAAAGGGCTAGGAATATGGCTCAGTGGTTAAGCACCCCTGGGTTCAATCTCTGCTACCCAAATAAAACAAAACTGTAGACCCTTTTGGATTTGGGAGCTAATGTACACATACTTCAGTTGTTACTTTGTTTGACTCTTTTGCCAAATAAGCCATAGATGCTTCCTGTTTTGAGTAAGGACAACAAGAAGGGAATGTTTGGCAGTCAGTCCAATCTGCAGGGCAAGTTGTTCTTCCAGTGACACCTGATAACCCAGCAGATCCAATGATGCTTGGTATTTCTGCAGCAAGTACCACCGCTGTATGAACCCTCTAGCCAATATCACTAAAGAATTGAGCACCAGCTTCTAGGGGGTGGGACCATATTCACACCCTGATGACTTTGCTTGAGAAACGCCTGCTGGTTTGCTTCTAAACACTCAATTGCAGGCATCAAGAAACCACACAGGAAAAAAAGAAAAGAAAAACCATACAGGCTGAGCTTCTTATTGTGAACCTATGTCCCAAACTGTAAGCTGGGTGTATGTAATGGCAATCTGTCAGCTGGTCCAATGAGGTCCAGAAGGTATGAGCAAGTTTCTTGTGGGTTCTCAATACTGACACCTGTGGAATTGCCTCTTCAGTCTCCTCTAAAAGCAAGAATCCTGGCTCCATTTACTCTCAATATATGTATTCATTTGTTTGGTCCTCCTAAATGCAAATACTGAAATGACCATGGATATTTACTAGGTTCTGGGTGTATTCACACACAGCGGCCACACAAAGCAAATTTCCATTAGCTTTGTAGATCAAAAAGCTCTACTCATACTGAGAATGTAAAAGATTGCAGTACTTGTAGTTCAAGATCGGGGCAGTAACTGTGCCAACAGCTAATGAAAACATCCAAGAAACTGAAATGGAGTAGAGTGACATACTATATACACTCAGGCGTTCTGAGCCAAATGACTTGAACGTTTTGCAAAAACATGGGTAAATACATACCCAACTGGCTTCTGTGAACATTCTGCTGACAGTGCAGATGCCTTCAGTTCTGGGCTGCTCCTGAGCAGCCTTGTGAGATGCTGTTATGTCTAATTTTCTTTCGGGGTCAAAATTGTGCTCCTTTATTACTATGCATTTCATCAGGAAGCCCTATCAGCATTAGTTAGCAGATGTCTCTGTTAGGGAGCCACAATCACAATTAAAGCTACTATGCATCCTACTTTGTGACAAGTTGGGGAATTAAACAAGGAAAAAGAGCATAACTCCATTACAAAAGATGACTTTTTCTTCAACTTATAACGTGGTATATGGCTGAGCATGGTGGTCCATGCCTGTAGTTCCAGCTACTCAGGAGGCTGAGGCAGCGAGGGTTCCAAGTTTGAGGCCAGCCTCAGCATTTTAGGGATACCCTCAGCAACTCAGGAAGACCCTATTTCAAAGTAAAAAAAAAAAGGGTTGGAGGTGTAGCTTAGTGGTAAAGCACCTTTGGGTTCAACTCCCAGTACCAAAAAATAAAATAAAAATATGATATAAATTATACATCTAGCTGTATACAACTACTAGTCTATCAATTCATTGACTTATACACATTAATTAGAACAGTAGCCCTAAGCAATGGCAGCTTTCTGTGTTCTAGAAAGGCATGCATTTTGGCTCTCTGTCCTGATTCCACATGACACATTTCTGTGCATCATTTTTTAAAAGCTAATAATTTGGGAAAGGTTTGTAACATTTTTACAGAAGTGTTATGGTTTTTGAAGGTGAAATACTACTAAATTTCTTTAAAGGTAGAGTGCTCGCCTAGCATGTGCAGGGCCCTGGGTTCGATCCTCAGCACTACATAAAAATAAATAAATAAAGGTATTGTGTCCAATTACAACTAAAAAATAAATATTAAAAAAGATTATATCACAAATCAAACATGTGTTAATTGATGTGTTGAAGGAAAGGAAAGGCCCTTTTTCTATTATGTCCAGCTTTTACAACTTAATGGGGCCATCTGGGCCTGGGGTTTTCTTTTTTGACAAGATTTTTAACAATAAATTCATTTTACTTAATAGAAATAGGACTATTCAGCAGGGCACGATGGTGCATGCCTATAATCCCAGCATCTCAGGAGGCTGATGCAGGAGGATCATGAATTCAAAGCCAGTCTCAGCAACTTAGCGAAGCTCTAAGCAACTTAGTGAAACCCTGCCTCTAATAACATATAAAAAGGGGTTGGGAATGTTGCTCAATAGTCAAACACCACAGGGTTCAATCCCTGGTATCAAAAAGATAAAATAAAATAAGAAATAGGACTATTATCTACTTCTTCTTTAGTGAATTTTGATTGTTTATGACCTTCAAAGACTTGGGTCATTTTGCCTAAGCTGTTGAATTTGTGTGTGTAGATTTATTTTTATGATTCCTTCATTATTCTTTTTAGTATCTTGGGATTCTGTGGGAATAATCCCCTTTTATTCCTCATGTTTATAATTTCTGTTTTCTCTGTTTTTAGTTTGGCTAGAGGTTTATCAATAAAAACATAAAAGTCAAGTCAGGAGACTTCTTTGTTCTTGTAGTATCAGCACTTGGGAGGCTGAGGCAGGAGGATCCATGAGTCCAGAAGACCAACCTGGACAGCATATCAAGATCCTATCTCAAAATATAAAAAATGACATAATGATCTCAAAAAAACAACTTTGGGTTTCATAGATTTTTTTCCCTATTTTCAATTACATTGATTCTTTTTCCTCTTTTTACTTGCTTTGAAATTTTTTTGTTTTGTTTTGTTTCGTTTTTGTTTTTGGTGGTACTGGAGATTTAACCTAGGGGCACTGTACCACTGAGCTACATTCCCAGTCCTTTTTTATTTGAGACAGGGTCTTGATAAAATTTCTGAGACTGGCCTTAAACTTGAGATCCTCCTGCTTCAGCCTCCCAAGTCACTAGGGATTATAGGTGTGCACCATCACACTCTTTTTCTATTTTCTCAAGGCAGAAGCTTTGGTTTTTGATTCAGGATCATTTTTGTTTTCCAAAAGAATTTTTATTACTATAAGCTTCCCTCTAAGTACTTATATAGCTGCATCTCACACATTTTAATGTTATAGTTTTGTTTTCATTCAGTTACAAAGTATTTCCTAATTTTCCTTGAAGCTTCCTCTTTGACTCATGGACTATTTTGAAAGTATTAATTTCCAAATATTTGGAGATTTTCCAGTTATCTTTGTGACATTGATTGCATTGTGATCAGAGACCATATTTTGCATGGCTTAAAGTTTTTAAATTTGTTAAGTATTGTTTTATAATCTGGGATGTTTCAAACTTGACACTTGCTTTTACTTTACTTGCAAGTTGTTAAGTTAGCCTGTTACTATTTCATGATGCTGGCATTTGTATTCATATGTAATTTCGCATAAATATTATGAAGCTTATGTCAGTAACTGCAAGTAACACTAACCTGTCCATAGGTGAAGTGGGCATTTAGAGGGGATCCTAGAGAGGAAAGGACGGGGCTCTAGAGCCTGCTGTTTCTGGGCCATGATTCTGTGTGTAGACTGTGGAGTCAGGAGACCTCTTTGTTCCTTCACTCCCTGTGTGACTTTGGACAAGTTAATTAGCATTTGAATTCCTTGTCTGTCAAAGGAAGAATAAACTACTCCACAGGAATACTTCACGTAGGCCAGCCATGAGATTAAGGGAAATTCTTCAGACCCTTATTCATGTTAAAGACATACCTTTTTGAAGATAAATATGAGGACAGAGGGCTGAGTGTGGCACTAGGAATACTGAAGGACCTGGGGACCACACAAATATTCATGAACTGTGAAAAGTTAAATTTATCTAGCTGATCAGTCATATGGAGTTGAGAATTCAAAGTTGAATTCTTTGAACAGTTGTTACTGGCAGGGGTCATTTATTTTGGGTTGAATAATAATGACCTTTAAAATCTATTGAGGTTTAGCTTCCTTTCTCCCTGCTAGCTTCTTCCCGGGTCATTGCCACAGTCCTTTAGAGTATTCTGTTTTGTATAGTTTATTTTTGCTTACACATGGCTGATTTTGTTTTTGTTTTTGCAGTACTGGGGATTGAACCCAGGGCCTTGCACACACATTCTTGACAAGTATTCTAACTGAACTACATCCTCAGGCCCCCCTCCTTTTTTCTTTTCTTTTCTTTTTTTTTTTAAACTTTGAAGCGAGGTCTCACTAAATTACTGATGCTAGCCTTGAATATGTGATCCTCCTGTCTCAGCCTCCTAAATTGCTGGGATTATAGGTATATGCCACCATTTCCAATGGAATACTCCCCTCACCCCACTTTTTGTAGTACTGGGAATCGAGTCCAGGACCCTGCTCGTACATGCTAGGTAGGTATTCTACCACTGAGCTACACCCCCAGCATTTTTTTTTTTTTCATTTTCCTAAGACAGAATTTCACTAAGTTGCCCAGGCTGGCCTTGAATATGTGATCCTTCTGCCTCAGCCTCCCAAGTAGCTGGGATTAAAAAGGTGTATACCACCATGCATGTTTCTGATATTCTCTCTTGAAGGAAGGGATGTGGGGGCCAATGTAGCTCTATGTGTTTTAAGTAGAGGACAGAGCTGTGTGGAGAACTCAAGCCTCTACTTGAGTATCCTGACTGTAGGAGGTCACTGGGATCCTGGAGTACAAAGTGAATGGGAAACAGGGATGTAGAGAACAAAGGGAGAGAGTGCCTTCTATTGCTCTAACAAATTTCTCCAATAGCCAGCAGCTTAAAACAATGCACATTTCCTATCTCACACAGTTTCTGAGGGTCAGGAATTCAGGAGAGCTTAGGGTCTCACAGGCTGTACTGCAGTATCTAGTCTTGGAACTGAAGGCTGTTTCTAAGACAGCTCGTGTGGCTCTTTGCAGAGGCCTGTTTCCTCACCGCTTGGGCCTTCCCACCAGCGGTTCGAGTGTTGCAGCTGCTTCCCCCAGAGTGAGACCCAAGAGAGAAAGAGCAACACAGAAAAGCCAGTGTTATTCATAGCCTGACCTAGAAGTGAGGTTGTACTCCATTGACCACATAGAACAATCTTGAGACCATGTTGGAGGCGACCACACAAAAGCATGAAAACCAGAGGTGGGAATCTCTGGGAACCATCTTGAAAGCTGGCAGTCACAGCGACTTTGCCTTTGGCCAACTGACTTTGCCTTCCAAGGCACAAGTCAGGCTTCTGGGGCCAGGCTTGGAGAGCCAGTGTGAGGTTGGTTTAGTGGAGATTTGGTTGGTGAACATTGGGAGCATGTTGAAGAACTTTAATCAGACCAATATATATTGTGCATTTCCCCCCAACATTGAACATTATAGTGGGACCATGGATCTGTTTGGAGATATAGATGACATTTCTTCAGAGAGTGATGAGGACAATCTACTACCCATTCCAAGACAGCCTGTTGTAAGTACCATCATGAATCTCAATTGATCTCATTATGTGAAGATAAGAAAAAGGTTCAGAGGCTGAGGGTCTGTTTCTCTGATGTTGAGAGAGGACAAGGATAACTGAACACCTGGTGAATGGGGGTATTCTTGGCTGTACTGGGAATGTGGGATATTAGAAGTCACAGCAGGAACTGCTCAGACAAAGCTGATACCAACTTCAGGGCGGGACCAGGAGGACTCATAACGTGGGCTATGTTGGTATTTTCTGATTTTAGCAGTAAGTATTGATGGGTTGAATAATTTCACACTTCTGTCGCTGGCTATCTTATGAAAAATAGAAACATCAATAAAATAGATATTTTTTTCTAGTAACCCAGGCTAACAGACCTCGTTCCCATGTTATTTTTGTTGGCTGGTTTTAAGTGGTGGAAGGTGAAGTTCTAGGAGAGGCTTGGAGAGATTGCTATTTTATCCCTAGAGCAGTGCCTGAATTTACCTCCTTTCAAACCTTCGTCTGACTGGTGCAGAGTAAAGCTAGTGCATTTTGAATGTCTCCTCACGCTCTTACCTTCTGATTCCTCTCTTAGGATGAACACAGAATACCTCAGGACCAGCAGGAAGAAGAGCCTGTTTCTGAAACCAGAATAGAAATAAAAATTCCCAGTATCAACTCTGACTTAGGAAATGAATTATATTTTGTTAAACTACCCAAGTTTCTCAGTATAGAACCCAAGTAAGAGAACTGATTAAAAATTTCAAGATACTGACTAAAACTTTGAAGAACAAAAATATTTTTCTTATTTATCATGAATTGACTAATCATATAGATATTTCTCCTGTAACTTAAAAAAATGAATTTAGGATGTACTAAGGTAGAAAAATGAAGAATTATTGGTAAGAGTTTTAATATTAATAATCTTTCTAGCATTTTGGTACTTTAAACAGACATCATGACTGATGGAGGCATTTTTCACTAGTGTAAAGCTGAATAATTGGAAAATGAGTGAGGAAGATGAGACAAACCACAAATGTTCAGTGCAGAGATCATTGTGAATCTAGAAAACATTATTTTGACAACAAAATAATGTTGATGGGTAGTACCTATATGGAACATGGGTATAAGCTCTTGTGATTAAGCATGACCTGTTCTTAAAAAAATATATGAAATGCTAGATCATGTGTTACTTACACTTGCAAGACATATTCCTCCAAAGAAGACTTTGAATTGTTAGTCACATTTGGATTTTATTTCAGACAATATGTTTTATAAATTTCAAGAAAGTACCATAATTTGCATACTTCCTTAAAGGCTTACATGAAGTTGTTCACTGTGATTTTAAGAAACATTGGTGCATATTGGAAAGATGAGTAATAGTGTCAATCATATTCATTATTAACTATGACTAATATGATATTAAAAAAATTTTAGACCTTTCGATCCTCAGTTTTATGAAGATGAATTTGAAGATGAGAAAGTGCTTTATGAGGAAGACAGAACCAGGTTAAAATTAAAGGTATTACCTCATGCTCTATTCCTTTTTTGTTTTTTCTTTAAAAAAAATTTTTTTTTAGTTATAGTTGGACACAATACCTTTTTATTATTTATTTATTTTTTCATGTGGTGCTGAGGATCGAATCTAGCGCCTCACACCTGCTAGGTGAGTGCTCAACAGCTGAGCCACAACCCCAGCCCTGTTTGCTTTTTTTATGAGATGGGGTCTCACTGTATTGTCCAGACTGTCCTTAAACTCCTGGGCTCAAGGATCCTCCTGCTTCAGCCTCCTGAGTAGCTGGAACCACAAACACTCACCACTCTGCCTGGCCTAGTTTTTTCTTTTGTAAAGTACAGGAATGATAACTCAAGACTCGAGTTTATGAAAATCTTTCATGTTACCTGTTATCAATAAATAACTGTTTAGAACAAAGAAGTAAATGACTTTTCAAAGTATTTTTAGGGGAGAAGGGACATTATACTCTCTCTTTTTAAATTCCTGTAGGTTTGTCACTTTTCTTTTTTGTTTCTTTTTTTGCAATTTCAAATTTTTCGATAGAAGTAGGGATAAAAACTGTTGCAAACTGTTTCTTCCTTCAGGATTATGTAGTGAGGTATACAGAACTGCCTCCACATTTCCTGGTGGGTAGATGCTAGCAACATTCCACAGTAGAAAAGTCTTAGACTCTGTGGATATTCAAATTATGCACAAAAATAAACCTTGCCATTAGCTTGTTCTTCTCTAGAAGGCCTGGGCTGGCGGGCACTACCTGTCAGGCTCCACAGGATGTTTTGTCTTCCTTAATCAGGTTTCCTCTGAGCTCCTATCAGGGGCCCCAGTGGTAGCACAGGACATGGTCAATTTTTACTCTACTTTTATGACTTGGAGTTTCCCACTATGTGGGGAAATTTGGCCTCAAAAACATGGCAGAGCACAAGTCTTGGGTTTTAATTTTTTGTTAATTAGTTAGTTGTTTATTCTTTTTTAAAAATTTAATTTCATGCACAGAGTTCCTCTGTCTCATTAAGCTAAAGGACGCTTATTAAGCCCTTCTTTCCTGGACTCTGCAAAGACAAAGGTCTCAAATTCTTTTTTTTTTTTTTCTACTGGGGATGGAACCCACAGCTTCATGCATGCTAGGCAAGTGCTTTACCACTGAACTACACCCCCAGCCCAGAGGTCTCAGTTTGAACTGCCCACTATATGTGGACCAAAGCCTCAGCCTGCATCATGCTGTGCTTCTGCTTCCACTGCTGTGAATTGAATCTCAGAGAAGTTTTAAGCAAAATGTCTGTTTAATTCAACCAATAACTCTAGGTATTTGCAGCAGATGGGTTTCAGTGTTTAGTAAGCTTATTCCATCATTACCTATCAATTCTTGGCATATGATTATAGATCACTTGAGGAAAAAAGATGTATTTAAATTGGTTTTCTAATACCTTTGTGTTTTGAATCAGGTAGAAAATACTATACGATGGAGGATTCGCCGAGATGAAGAAGGAAAGAAAGTTAAAGAAAGCAATGCCCGGATAGTCAAGTGGTCAGATGGGAGGTAAATGCAATATGCCCCAAGAATGTTGAAATACTCCAGGGAGGCCTGGATGAGTAGGACTTTATTTGGGTGTTATTTTCATTAAAGAATTGACACACGGTAGACCCCTGGCTTTACCTAGAAAAACTGAGAGAAGCAAAGTCAAGGTCATTCTAACCTTGCTGGTGGGAGACCTTGGACATGGACCCAAGTTGTGTTCAAATCCCTTATGTCTGCCTTGTTCATGTGAAAGACTAAGGCTAGTTTTCATCTGTGAGATTCCAGATATTTTAATTAATATTTTTGAAAAATGATTTCTGTTGGCTAATGAAGTGGTAGCAATTGGGGAAATTACAAGGAATTATATTTCAAGTTGAAAGGAGGATAGATTTGACCACATTTTACTTTGAAGAGAAGTAAGTTATTGACAGTAGCTTTTCTTCCTTATGAATTCAGTATAAAGACAGGATCCCACAGTTCTTCATTTTTTAAGTGAAGCTAACAGGGTAGAATGGATGCTGTAGGGCTCACTAAATATTCATCTTAATAGCTGAATGGCTTTTCCTTTCCAGCATGTCTCTGCATTTAGGCAACGATGTGTTTGATGTCTACAAAGCCCCACTGCAGGGCAATCACAACCACCTATTTATAAGGGAAAACACTGGTCTACTGGGACAAGCCATCTTTAAATCCAGACTTACCTTTAGGTAATTGTTCCTATCTGCACATTGTCACTTGTGGTTAAAGAGTAACAAAGTGGAGTGTTGTTCCCGATTCTTCCAACTGACCTAATTCCATAGTGCGGCTCACCAAGGACTGGGGACTGATTCTCAAGTTAACTGCGAATTTCTGTTTTGGACGCCATTTCTCTGGGAGCTAGCTCATGCCATCAAGAGACTGATGTATAACCTAGGAGACAGGTATATTGACTCACATTGGTCAGCGCACCTGGTAACAGTCTTAACAATGCATTTTTGTGGCCTTTCCCTTTAGTGAAATTGACCTGGAAGTTAAGTGTCATCAGAATGGTGCCAGTGTGTAGATGCAACAGGCATGACCGGCTGTGCCCAAACAATGTGTAGATCAGCTGAGCTCATTGCCATGGGTGGTGCTGTGGTGCCTTCTAGACACCCTCCCTCTGAAAGACACACTGCTGAGATTAGGATCGACTTTCCTCTAGAGTTATGGGCACAGGTTCTGTTTGGGATCATGAAGATCTTCTAAAATCAGATTGCAGTCATTCTTGCATAACTTTGCAAAAAAAAAAATCATTTAATTCTATACTTAAAAAGAGTGAATGTTATGGTATATTATTATACCCAGAGAATTTGTTGGTGTTTATATAAACATTGTGAGGGACAGCTCTGAGATTGTGTAATCTTGAGGAGGGGTCTCAAACTCACTAACTTCCAGTTCCCTCTGCTATAACATGAAGATAATGTCTACCTCTCAGAGATGTTGTGTTAATTAAGTTGAAGACTATATAAAACTTCCTGGAGAAACCTGGCACAATAAATGGTGCTCCTTTTAAGGATGTCTCCTAGAATGGCATCCCAAAGATACGCAGTACTTATTCTGCCTGTTCTGCACCATGCCCTGTGCTGCCCCATAGTGCCCTGTGTTCCACAGTGGGATATCTGCCCAACACAACTTTGTTTCTTACATTTCTCCATAGCCATGCCTTCTTTGGAGACCCTTTCCTAAAGCTCATCCTTCCTTTGCTCTTTGACCTTCCTCCCAGTTTTATCCAGGTGGAGGGACTCACTTTCAGTTCTCCAATTGTGCTTTCTGCATTTGTGCCACCCTTAAAGAACTAAGGTCTCGTATTACTTCTCTTCTATGTGAGTGGGGCTGTGTGTTCTTTATAAAAGCCCTTGACCTTACCACCTGCCTTCCCTTCTTTCCACTCCACTCCTACTCACACAGTCAGACTTCCCCAGGAGGAGGGGCAGCGGGGTGTGGGGGTGGGGTGGGGAGCTTCTCAGGGAGCCAGAGAATGGGAAACTGTGGTTCTGCCTCCTTGCTCTGTCACTGTGAGGCTGTCACTGTCTCCAGGTTATTTGGCTGTTAGTATGCTTGCCCCCAAATGTTCTTGGTAAAGAGTGAGACATTGTTGTTGTTCATTTCCTGGCAGACCTCACTCTACAGACAGTGCCACACATAGAAAGATGACCCTGCCACTCCTGGATAGAAATTCAAAGACACAGATTAGAATCTTGCCAATAGCTGGTCGTGATCCTGAATGCCAACGCACAGAAATGATTAAGGTATGTTCTCTAGGTTTTATCCTAGATTTTTTTTTGTGTGTATTAAGAGGTGTTATTTTCCAGAATATTAATTCACTTTTTTTTTGCTGCCACTATTATTTCTCGTAGTTACCAGAATCCAGCTTACCTGCTAAGTTTGTAGTTTATCAGCCACAATAATGTCAATGGCTGATGGAAGCTTATAGCAAACAAGGGACTCAGGCGCTGTCCCCATGATCTATAAGATTTCAGAGAAAAACTATTGATTTTTAAAACTCAACCTCTTTTTGACAGACATTACAGAACTGTATTAGAAAATAGGAAGGTCAAAAGAACATTCCAGACTTGCCTGACACTGGTCCAGCCTTTTGACCAAAGTGCAGAATGCCAGGCAGCTGTAAGGCAAGGAAGGTTCTGCCTTGTAGCTTGGGGATCCCCTCACCCCCGCCTGTTGTCAGGGGCTGTGGGAAGCTCTCTGGGTTGAGGGTCAGGACAGGAATATATATCTAGACACTTTGGGAGTGGAATGTAGGAAGGTCCGGTGTGTGCAGCTCAGGGATGACAAAGACAGCCCCCACTCCCCTGGGAAGTCAATTCAGCTGTCCTGGGCATGGATTGGGTTTCTCAGGCTGTTGGCTTTTCTGCATGGGCTGAGTGGCACTGTCCTGAGAGAACAGTGTAAGTTCTGAGACCACTCCTGTGCCAGGTCTGAGTGGGCTGACTAGAGTGAGGGATCCTTCCCTCCTCTTCACCCTTGTATTGCCTTCATGATGTCAAACCAAACCAAACCATCCACTGTGTGGTAACAGAGGTGCAAAAAGAGGTGTCTGCACTCTGGAGATACAGGGCCTAGGTGCTGTCTTGGACTAGGCATTTACATGTTTCTTAGGGTAAAAGAGGGTTCAAGTAGGCATGAAAGTAGCTTTTTTTTTTTTGAGACAGGGTATGGCTGGTATAAACCTCTTGGCCTCAATTGATCCTCCCCCTTAGCCTCCTCAGTAGCTGAGATTAGAGGTGTACACCACCATGTCCAGCTAAAAGAGTTTATTTGCTTCTTTACAGAAAGAAGAAGAACGCTTGAGGCTGTCTACTCACCAGGCTGTCCATCTGCAGGGGAAACAGAACCAGCAGGGGCCAAGTGTTCTTGACCAGGACCTTGGCAGTGATGAGGATGAGGAAGGTGAGGAGGCCTCTAGCCTGGATGCCACTGAGGCCCATTACTAAGGGAAACTCTGGGCTGTGCCAGGTTTGGTCAGATCTTACTTCAGGTGACAGGGCCTGCTTTGCTCTGGTGAGTTCTTCCTCCCTGTCCATCAGCCAGTACAACACCCCCACCCCCCCACCCCCCCACCACTTTGGTTGTTTTTGTTTTTGTTAGAGCCACTTTCTCACAGAAAAGGTTAACTGTGAACATAAGGCATTTCCAAAACAAAGAAAATGTATTAAATAAATGTTTGTGGAGGAAAATGTATGTTATCATATAAATTGTTATATATGCAGTTAATTGTATAATTAAGGACTCAGTATTTAAATTTCATAGTTCTTAAAGATGATAATACCTAACGTTTCTTGGTTTTTGTTTTTATAGTGTTAGGGATTGAACCCATGACCTTGTGCATGTGAGGCAAACACTCTATCAACTGAGCTATATCTCCAGCCCCTTTCTTGGATATTTGAGGTTGTCAAATAACTTGAGAAAAACCTTTCAATCTAAGTCATTTCAGCAAGTGTGAAAGTTATATCTGCCTTCCCACTGACACTTAAAAATACCTGTTGTCTTCTCAAGGACAATGTCTAGTGGGAAGTAACAATATTCAGCAGAAGACACTTTCAAGAATAAAAGGGTCATCATCTTCGTCAGTTGTTCTGGGAAAAGCCAGTGTAAAAGGACTGGCCACTGTAGGCAGAAGGTGCTGACAGACTAAAAAAAGAAGTAGACAGTTTCAGGATTGCACAGAATGCAATTTATTGGGGACTTACTGACAGAAGCATGGTCAAGGCTGGCAGCAAGATCAGTGGATCCTCAACTTGGGTGAGAGAAGGAGGATTATGTAGCGGTCAGGACAAAGGTGGTGTTCATCTACCAGGTTTATATGCAACTAACAGCAAAGACGTCAGGCACATTCCTGGTGCTGATGAACTAGGGTCTGATCATAAAGATTCACAAACCACTATGCATAGGACAGGGTTGCTCAGGGGCAACCATGGTGGTGATGATTCAAGATGGCTATGGTCAGGTCAAGTTGAATCACTACAGAGGTCAATACCATGTCTAAAATTCCTTTGCTTTCAGAGGAACAAGCTAGATATTCCTCAGACGACAGTGATGAAAGATCAGAAGATGAAGTTCAAAGATTACTCAAAGAAAAGAAAATCACTGGTGATGAGGTAAGCCCGCGTTTACTCAATTCTAAGGGTTGGCCTTGTGCCCAGGAATCAACTCCTGGGAAGAGGAGCTCACAGACCAGAAGCAATTTGTCTCACTGAAATTCAGTGAGACAAATGCAATAATAGGAATTAGAGTGGCCCAGAGAAGGGTCTGATACCTGTGCTTGATGGCTCTTGGAAGGCTTCTCAGAGGAGACTTCTAATAGGCACTAAGAGTAAGTGGAAGCTTGGCAGGCACATGGGCCAGAGTTGAGCATTTCAGGAAGGAACATACTATAAGACAAGATGCAGGATTCTCAGATACCATAGCTCAGGTAAAGAATGATAGTTTGGTGTCAGTAAAACAAGGAATCTATCATGTTTGTTGTGGAAAAATGAGTATCTTTATTGTTTGGATATTATAGTAGTTGAGGGTTATTTCTATTGAAATATTTCTCCCAGTATTTCCTTGTTTTCTTTTATAACTTCAAAGGAACAAAGAAATTTTAAGTCTTAACTAAGTATGAGAATCACTGTTATTGCCTTTATGCCATATGAATTTATTCATTATTTTTGTAACACTTAGCATATGTATTTTTTTTAGTACTGGGGATTAAACCCAGGGCACTCTACCACTGAGCTGCATCCCCAACCTTTCCCCCTACCTCCTAGGTGGGTCTTGTTAAGTTACCGAGGTTAGCTTTGAACTTGCCATCTTCTTACCTCAGCCTCCTGAGTCATTGGGATTACAGGCATGTGCCACTGTGCCTGGCTTGCATTCTAAGTTCCAGAGATACAGATAGAAATAAGTCTCATAGTCACATAAATGCTTAATTAAACTTTAGTGACTTTTTCATTTGTTTTCCATACACATATATATTTAAAGATTTAAACCATACTGAAAAAACACATAAGTCATTAGCAATCTTTGCTTAAAATCAAAAGGCTTTTAAAAAGCTCTAAAATACTGAATTGTAGATAGAAAAAAGTGAAGTACTGAGGAAGAGAGGGACATATTTCAAGTAATATGGTAAGGTCACTCAGTAAACCAGGCGTGGTGCACATACCTATAGGTATAGGTATTCCTGTACTCAGGAGGCTGAGGGAGGAGGTTTGAAAGACCACAAGTTTGAGGTCAGCTGGGGTAACTTAGCAAGACCTTGTCTCAAAATAAAACAGTGGGCCTGGGGTTGTGGCTCAGTGGTAGAGCGCTTGCCTCCCAAGCGTGAGGCACTGGGTTCGATCCCCAGCACCACATAAAAATAAACATATTTTAAAACATTAAAAAATAAAACAGTGGTAGAGGGCTTGCCTAGCATGTTCAAGGCCCTGGGTTCAATCTCCAGTGTGGCAAAACAAAAACAGTCAGTATAGAAAGAAAGTCAGTCTTACATGACAGCAGCCCTGGGAAACCCAGTTTCTAGGAGCCTGACCTTATAGAGCCAGTGTCTCGTGTGATGCACGTCAGCCACTAGGAGTGTCAAGGTCTAACATGAGGAGCTGACTCTTCCCTTGTCAGCTAGAACCTATTTTAGTAAGATTTCCAAAAATGCCTTATACTGAATTTTACAACTCATCTATTATCTGTTCAGGAGATGAATATTCCAGAAAGAGGAAAGCAAGGGGTGAAGAGGAAGATGATTGAAGCATAAGATGTGCACTAGTATAAACTTCATTCAACAGGTTTTTTTTTTTAATATTTATTTTTTTTTTTAGTTTTTTTTAGGTGGACACAATATCTTTATTTTATTTTTATGTGGTGCTGAGGATCGAACCCAGTGCCTCGCACATGCCAGGCGAGCGCACTACCACTTGAGCCACAACCCCAGCCCCTGGTTTTGTTTTTTTAAAAAAAATTTTGGTGGGGCTGGGGATCGAGACCAGAGTCTTGTGTATGCAAAGTCCATGCCCTACCAGTGAGCTACATCCCCAGCCTCTCAAGTTTTTTTTTTTTTTAATGATGAAATGACTTGTTTTAATTAAAATTTTTTTTGCATAAACTTAGTTATGAATAAAAAAATGTTCAAAACCAAGTCTTTAGAAAATCTCCTTTTGCCAAGTGAGAAGATTATTTTGGTAAGTGTTTGCTCTGGGTGGGTCTTAGTTTGAGTGCATTCCTGCTGCCCTGCCCCACCACTTCCTCCTGGCCAGGGGTCAGACGTCAGCTTAAGTTCAGCTCAGGGATGGCCTCCAGGTGTCTTTCTGCCCTGGCAAGCTGGGTTTAGGGCCCTCCTGTGCTCTCTAGTCTCCTTGGCAAAGGCGTTAATTCCATTTACCACATGGCCTCCTGTCTTAGAAGAGCAGGTTCTGCATGGTAGGTCTCCGAGGATACTGGGAGCTTTGCTGAGAGCTGTTCTATTTCAGCTCTACCCCTCAAAACACCCTGAAGGTGTTATTATACTCACCTTACAGATGGAAACAATCACAAAGTTGAACAAATACATCAGTGACCTAATGAAGACAGATGCTCAAGATACTCACCTGAGATAAATGAGCTTTAAGGAAAAGAGCAATAGGAAACAGAACACTAGCTTCAACTCCTAGCCTTGTGACTCCCCTGGTGGGTGTAATAAATACATATGGAATAAAGAAACCAACAGTGTTATCTTGGGAAAGTCACTTTGATTTCTCTGAGGTCAGCTTCCTCAAGTAGATGGGTTTAGACTTGACTACGTAAATCCGTCAAGATCTAACATTTGTTATTTCTCTGCCTCTGAGAGTTGAATACTAGATGCCTTATTATTAGATGGAAATGATTAAGGAAAAACATGCCCCATCTTCTCAATACAGAAAACCTGGACTTACATTCTATCTCCTTTTCCTACTTTTTTTTTTTTTTAACTTGCAGCTGACCCTTTAGGTTGGGGAATCAGGTGCCACTCAGCTGCAAGTTTTTTTTTTAGAGAGAGAGAGAGAGAGAATTTCAATATTTATTTTTCAGTTTTCAGCAGATACAACATCTTTGTTTGTATGTGGTGCTGAGGATCGAACCTGGGCCGCACGCATGCCAGGCAAGCGCGCTAAGGCTTGAGCCACATCCCCAGCCCTCCTTTTCCTACCTTAACAGCACAATTTCATGAATGTATAGTAAACACTTTCATAATTTGCATTAGCAGAACACCAAGAGGTACTAGCATAATTTAGTTGTAAGCTCAGGGATTCTTTATATGGCCTTGATGCTTAGATGTACCTGTGAATCTCCAGTTCCTCAATGTTTGCAGATCATGCAGGAAAGCTTAAGCATCTGAAGGAAAACAAATGTTTTGCAATTTTGGATTCACATGTGGTTGGTTAGCCACCCAGAGTTTGGTACCTAAAGAGCAGAAGTGTCCCATGTACTGAGTGTCTTTTACTAGGCTGCTTCAGAGGACATGATGAGGGCACTCTCCCCACAGCTCCTGGCACTCTTGAGTCCTCTCAGAGGAGCCTCTCACAACTCCAAAGCCTCTCTAACTTGCCATATATATCAGGATGTCCTGTCTGTGAATATAAAGCTCAATCAAACCCAATACATGTTCCACTGATTTTCTATTTTGGCTGATGGATCTAGGTGACTGATATGCAATGACTGCTTTACTGTAAAAAGCACCTCTAGTTGATTAGCAAGACTGGCTCCTGTCAGGTCCAGAATGTACTGTATCACAGAACCCCGCTTCTTCATATCTGTCAATTTAATTTAGTTCTATGATCAGATAAGACCAAGTACTGATATTACCTTGAGCCACGTAAAACCTCTATTTTTATGGGTAAAAATGGCCAACTATTGACAATTTATATGGCTCAATAGCATAATATCTTAGCTGAGACTATTCTAACAAAGTATCAAAGATTAATTGGTTTGCACAACAGAAACTTCTCATATTTCTAGAGGCTGGGAAGTCCAAGATCAAGGTTCAGTACCTAGGAAGGGCTTTCTTTCTGGATTGTAGACAGCTATGTTTTCAACATCTCCTCACATGACAGAGAGTTTTGTGTATTTTGTCTCTTCTCATCACAAGGGCCCCACATTTGGGACCTTATCTAATCCTAATTACCTTCCAGAGGCCCCATCTCCAAATACCATGACATTGGGGATTAGATCTTCAACCTACAAATTTTGGGGAGACACATATTCAGTCCATAACAGGTAGGATAGAAAATTTAGGAAATTAGTAAACTTATTCTAGAATGATATAAATAATTAACTTTAAAATACAGGAACTAGGGCTGGAGTTGTAGCTCAGTGGAAAAGTGCTTGCCTGGCATGCGTGAGGCATTGGATTCGATTCTCAACAACACATACAAATAAATAAAGGTCTATCAACAACTAAAAAATATTTTTTTAAAAAATTAAGGAACTAAAAGGATTATGTGCTCTTCCAAAAAACCTAAGTCTACAGGATATTTGGTAAACTTTATTGAAATGATTTGTTCCAGGATATAATTGTTAAGTTCTAAATGCCTATAGTGCACATTCTTCACAAGAAACTTTATTGCATTATTATGAACTGAGGGGATTTTTTTTTTATTATTTAAACAACAGTGTTATATAATTCATTGCTTTTTGTGCTTATAGAGATGGAAAAGTATGACATTTAGAGTATTTTGGATATATTAGCCAAGGAAAAAAATATCTAAAAACTTGACTTTATGTGACAAAGAATGATGTTACAAAGGCAATTTTCAAGCTTTTAATCCAAAAGACTGAAATAAAAGTGAAAATTTATTTGAAATTACAAAGGTTTTTATGCTATACATGTGCATACTTGTGTCTGTGGTTCTGGGGACTGAATCCAGGCCTCCTGTATGCTAGGCAAATGCTCTATCACTGAATCACACCCTCAGCCCCTGTGTGCATACCTTAAAAAAACAATTCTTAAGCAGACAAATCTAAAACTTTGAAACAACTGAATCAAAAACTCATTTTTCAGAGAGTGTAGTGACTGCTTGAGTCCAGAAGTATGAGGCCAGCCTGGGCAACACAGGGAACTAGTCTCAAGACAATAACAAACATAATGCAACAACAAAATACACTTGTCTTTGAGTGGAGATGAAACTTAAACTCTTAATAATGGCTAAACATACCCATCAAGAACCTAGAATTTGTTCTTAAGTCTTAAACATCACTCCAAGTATATAAACGATGATATCTGAAGGATTTTATGCCAGTTAGTTGCTTTGAACTAATATACTAATAGTCTGTAGAAAAGGGAGCAAAACCTCTATACGTAGACTCTAAGGATGTGGGAGAATCTTAAATAAAATACGTGAACTTGTTATAATTAACAAAATATGGTGGTGTTTCCTTAGTGTTTTAATTTATTAAACTCTAAAGCAGGTATCTTAAGTCCAATTCTTTTCTTTTTTTTTCTCCTTTTTCTTTTAGTAGCACAGGGGACTGAACCCAGGCCCTTGGGTTCAGCACTCTACCACTGAGTTACATCCCCAACCTAGTTCTTTACATATTAATAAAGGCTTTCTAAAATATATGGTAATGGCCATGATAATTTACTTAATTATGTCTTTTTCCCTAGGTAATCCCTAAGGTTGGCCCCTCTGAATAATGAGACTGCAAGGTAGAGTTTAAAATTAATAAAATGTTACAAATGTTTTATTAAAAATTCCAAATTGTCCAATTTTATAGAAAACTTATAGAACTGAATTATAGTGAAGAAAAATCAATGATATAAAGAATAACCAGATTAAAATATGACGATATAAAAATCATTGCATATGGATAGTATTTTCTCAATTTAAAAATCATTAGGGAAGAGTTTGATTTGTTTGATAAGCAAGTCTTAGAGTGAGAGCTATCCAGAAACAATAATAATCAGCATCAGCTGGTATTGAAGACAGTTCTCCAGATGTTTAGATCCAACAACTTAAAACCCTTCACCTGGCCAGTAGCAACAGGAGTTGTCTCTATTCCATCCATGTGTTTGTTTCTCTTGGGTGCCATGTTTTCAGTCAATACTGTTCAAAAGTGAAGTATCACTGTAGTGCAGGAGCAAAGCTGGACAGGACTGAGCCTGCAGAGAATGGCAGTGTCCATGGATTCCAGAGATAGCATGATCCTTGGATATGCTAGGAGGTAACAGTGGTTCCTGGTTTTATAGTGAGAAAATAAGGTAGCCCTGGGAACTGTAAGATTTCATGAAACTTCACAAACTTTTGTCTTATTTTAATGTTATATATAATATACAATCAAGGTTATATATAATGTACAACAGGACTAACATTTTGTCAAAACTTTTTTTTTCTTTTACAATTTTTATTATATCATGGAATCCCTCCTTAAAAGGAAAACACACCAGATAATTGATTAATTGGAAAATGATCTAAAGTTCTATTTATTTAACTTTCCTCTAGTGTACCTCTTGCACAAAGCAAGTGGGTTACTTGATTCAGAGAAGAATTTGCTATTTAATGACCAAGAAAACTCCCCTTGAAATTGATAACAATCTGCTAGATTATGTAATACAATTGTTTATTTGGTCTTTTAAATGATGTGGCACCCTTAGAAAATATATTTTGCTTATTCTTTAGATTTTTACAAGGCTTTAGCTACAAATATATAGCACCAAAATCCATTTTCATCATATTAATATTGGCAATAAATATTGAGTTTTAAAAAAATTTCATATAGACATACTGGAAAAATTTGAACTCCAGACAAATATGAATATAAAATTTTATAAAATGGGTAATTAAATTTTTTTCTTAAAAAGCAACAATTTAAAAATGAAAGGACATTCTCTTAGATAAACATGTACGTTGAAACTGATTAGATGAAAAAACTTAAGGTCTTAAAAATTCTCTTAAGATTGTATCAAAACCCAGTTAATAAAAGATTAAAAAGTGCCAATTTTTTTTTTTTTGGGGGGGGTACTGGGGGTTGAACCCAGGGCCACTCTACCAATGAGTTATATCCCCAGACTTTTTTTTTTTTAATGAATTTAAACTTTATTTTATTTATTTGTTTTTATGTGGTGCTAAGGATAGAACCCAGTGCTTCACCCATGCCAGGCAATACTCTACCACTGAGATACAATCCCAGTCCATGACTTCTTTTATTTTTTATTTTGAGACAGGGTCTTGTTAAATTGCTAGGGCCTCACTAAATTGCTGAGGCTGGCCTTAAACTTGTGATCTTCCTACCTCAGCCTCCCAAGTCACTGGGATTACAGGCATGAGCCACCACGCCCAGCGAGGTACCAGATTTTTTCAAAGTAAACACTGTTATTCTCCCTTATAATTATAATACTTGAGAGATTTCCATATTTAGTTGGATGAGTATTCATATTAAAATTATTTATAAAAAAATTATAAAATGTATTATAGCATAGAACTGGAATGGTACAAGCAAAATACTCAACTTAGTCATATTTTGATAAATAGTAGGTAAAAAAGATATTCCCGTAAGTATGATACAAAATTCTACGTAGGGACCAACCTTAACAATATTTAGAAAAAAAAACCACCATATGGGAGAGAGGGGAGCATACTTATTAACTGACTTACAGGGCAATGCAAATGAAGAAGCCTGGCTAGAAGTTTAAGTGACCAATTCTTTGTGGTAGCCTTAGATACCTGCTCCATGCCTGACTCCAAATCTTGCTGGAATTGCACAGTTTATAAAATCAAGTACAATTCAAAAGTTGTATATGTAAAGAAGGAAGAAGGGAGGGGAAGAGGAGAGAGAGAGAGAGACAGTAGAGGCTGGTGTTGGGGCAGGCAGTCAGGTGAGAAAGCAAGCAAGTGAAGCCTTTCTAACTTGGAAAAAAAAATCAGTGGCTTTTAACTGAAAGGGAATAGTGCAAAGTTAATCTTTGGCCCCTTTGAAATACTGGATACTGATTTTTCAAAAAGCAAACACACCACAGTTCCTATGAGGGAAGCTTTAGCCTGTTAAGAAGGCTTATTACTATAGTACACAAGCTGCTGCCTAGATCATGGGATAAATTGTCTGGCAGCCAAAATAGTAGACATTTTGTGATTCAACTTCAAAAGGTTTTTAAAAAACTAACCATGACAAACTACCTTCCCCTTACTCAGAAATATCTTTTTGTAAATGATCCAGGTAGGCCTTATGAGGCCAGTATTTTTCTGATCCCCTTCTTCCCAGTCTTCTGTAGATGTGAGTGCGTCTGCTATCTCCTGCTAAAGAGCTGCTATGGGACAGGACATGAATGCAAAATCAAACCCTGTAGCACAGCTGGGGTGTGCAGTGTCACACTTGTCCTCTCGCCACAGAACTCTGTTCAAGCACTCACCTTATACTCTGAGCAATAAAGACCACTTTTGTTATAGAAAATATTTTTATACAATATGGAAAAAGTGCAAGATGAAAGGAAGCATATAATAGAATCAGATTCTGAAGATCAGCACTTCTCTTTTTTGGCTGGAAAGTATGTAGTGGGGATTAAATATTGTCTATGCCATTCTGCGCTGCATATGGAACTTCTTGGCATACAGCACAATACCAAGTAATTTACACACATCCCAGTTTCTAACTTCCTTATAGTAACCATCAGTTTAAGTGGCTGTTTTGCAAGTTCCTCAAACCTGAACTCCATCATGTTACCTATGATTTCACATGTTTAGCAGCAGCTTTGTTTTTTATTTTATCCTAAATAACTGGGAGTTGGCTGTGTGCCTTTTTATGGGGGAAGAAAACAACTTTTCTACTTAGATGTTTTTTACCATTAGCTTTCATAAAAATTTAATAATGCCCACATTAAAATGAAAAACAGTAATAAACATAGACATAAATGGGCGTTGAAGGGAGAATGGGAAAAGGAAAGACAGTGGAATCAATCTGACATAAATTTCCTATGCACATACATGAATATACCATAGTGAATCTTACCATCAAGTACATCCACAAAGAATTAATTAAGAAATAATAACTGGGTAAATGGCAGAAAGATCAACAGAGGGAAGGAAGCTGGGGGTAGGAAAAGGGAAGGGGAAAAAGAGGTACTGGGGTCTTCACTAGAACATGATATATTCCATGCTTTCATTATGTCAAAACAAATTCTATTGTCATTTATAACTAAAATGAACCAATTAAAAATACTTAGACATACTATATTTTTAAACAAAGCGTATAACCTGGATCAGCTGATGATTTTGTTTAAAAAACAAATCCCTAGATGTTGCTGAGCTGTATCAGACAAGCACAGTAACCTGCACTGCATGAAGGTCTCTCCCTGGAGGTCTGCTTTGGCTTCTGAACACTTCACCAGATTTTGAGCCATCTGTTTAAAAATCATTGCATTTTGATTCCTTGATAAGGAAAAAATATACCCTTGCCAAGTTCATTTATTCTTAAAAAATGGAAAAGTATCCAGGTTACAAAACAAAGAAAACTTTTAAGTGCCTTATACCTCGAAGGAGCAATTAATATCAGCAATGTCCCTTTTTAAATTAAAAAACTGGTCCTCAGATTATTCTACATAAATGACTTCTGAAACTTATTTATAATCGTATTGTTTTTTGCCCAAGACTCATTATAAGTCATTTAATTAATCTAAATTAAAACTGATTTTAGTAGAAAGTGGAAATGCTTCAAAATATAAAATACCAGATACTATTGATTTCATAATTTTAAACTGATAACAACTTAAACTAGGAAAATAATGCATATAGTTAACAAAAAAGCTAAACAAACAAACAAACAAAAAAAAAAGATTTCCAGTCTTTTCCCTTCTACCCAGAAAAATTTTACATCTGATGTCACCAACATGAGCCCTTGGTAAAGTTCTGAAGTCTTCCAAAGATTTATACTTTGTTGGACTTACTGGTGGTCTCCTTCAACTCGTTTCTTTCGCACTGTGAGAAAAAGAAAAGGGTTTTGGGGAATCCCTATTAGTTTCTACAATGTTAACTTGCTTATAACAAGTTATAAGTTATATGTACAATTCTGTTAGTTTTACAAAAATTAAGCGTGCATTTCCAGTTCACATGGCCATTAATAAAAAAACAATTTCCCATCATTAACCATTGTTATTTACCTGCTGAGAACCAAGGGGCTTCTAAATAAGAAAGACGTGTCCTAAGCTCAATGACCCTGTGCTTATACAGTGGCAGTGCTAAAAACCTAAAACACAGAGTAGTCAGCATTAGGTTTGAGTCTTCTGTTTGTTGAAAAAATGTACACTTAGGCCAGGTGTGGTGGCGCATATCTCTAATCCCCATAACTTGGGAGGCTGGAGATGCAGGATCACGAGTTCAAGGTGAGCCTCTGAAACTTAGTGAGATTTTGTTTCAAAAAATAAAAAGGGCTAGTGATATGGCCCTTGGTGGTACAGTGCCCCTGGGTTCAATTACCAGTACTGGGTGAGGGGGTGGGGGGGAGAGTATACCTAGGTTTTATAAAGTGATTAATAAGTTACTGAATTAAATTCTGCAATGACATCAGACAGCTGGGGTTAAAAGGTATTAAAAGTAACAATTTGCATGCTCTTGTGGTTAGATACGACAATGTATTTCCTTAGTCTGAAAGAATATATACCAAAAGTATTTTTGTCATTTTTAAAGTAAGTGACTTGCTATTGTTTTCCAAATTTCCCTTCTCTTTCTTCTACAAAATGAACCAGTTGAGGGCTCTGATGAAATAACAAATGCAGAAAAAAAAAAAAAAAGAAAGAAAATTTCAGACTCTGGTAATGTGCTGAGGTCAATTCTGGGTAATATAAATTTTGGTTCCAAAGTGGCCAGCCAATTAGTTCAGCTGATGGAGTAAAAAAAGGTGCATGTATTTGAGAACTCCCAGCCTCTTTACGGACAGATGATGCCAAACCATCAAGCTGTGCTTACAAGCAGCAAGGATACCAGGTCTTCAGCTTTAAAAATGTTCTATCTGCTCTCTCACCTACCAGCCACCAATAGCATTTCAGTGCTACTCAGTGTTGTAGCTGACTCCTATTTAGAGAGGACAAAAGGCACAACAGGTTCTGAAGTCAGTGCAAATGGGAATGTGGATCATGGCTCTGTCACTTTTCTGTAGTGTGTTCTCTAGTAAGTCAATTAACCTCTCTAGGCCTCAACTTATTCTATGTACCAGGAGAATGATGATATCTATACATATCTATACCTCCATGGCTGTGCAACTTAAGGCACTATAAGCTGCACTGTGCAGTACTTGAGAATACAGAAAGCCTTTATGAAAGAGTAGTACTCAGCTTCATTATTCACCGTAGGAAGATTATATCAGCCACTTTTCCAAGGTGAGGAAAGGCAATTTGACTACTGTAAAGGATCTGTATTTATATGTTACTGTTTTGATACCTTTTTCAGTAAGTTTCTCTGATTAAGTTAGACTGGTCTATTAATTTCCTGCTCTTTTCTGTCCATGGAAGCAAGTAGTAAAGCAATTAACTCTTTAGCCTAACTGATGCCAACAGGTACACCTGGCCTCCCGACCAGGTCACAGACACTGCTCTGGCGTTATTCTGACTGCTGGCTTCTGTTTGTTGGCCTTTAACAGATGATATCAGACGTTCAAGTGATGGCTTGTCCAGCCAAGTAGAGTATCAGGGTCTTATGAACATTTTTATACTTATCTTTGCAAGCTAGTCCCAACTCTAATTTTAGTCCACAGTAATGAAGAATAAGTTTTACTAACATATAAAGGGGGAAAAAAATCAAAGGAAACTTCTGTTTCCAAATACAAGCTTAGCTCATATTTATACATCTCTGAAAAACGGAAATATGTGAAATTATTTAGATAATTCTGTAGGGCAGAGTTTAGCTGTTATCAGTATACCATTTTAGATGTTAAAATGCATGTTACAAAAATGTTATGAACAAGATCTATAAGACAGAATATAGCAAACAAAAAAGGTGTAGAAAATTGGTTATGTAGTTAGCTAGTGTAAAGATGATAAACAGGATGAGGCACAAGGTTCAACTGAATATTGTATGTATACCATATAACCTCTTTGCTTTTATATCTGTGACACTTCTTAGACGGAGAGATGGCGAGTAGGTAGAATTATTTCAATGAATAGTTGTGACTAAGAAAATAATAAGAGAAAGATGTTACCAAAATCAGAACACCAAAGACCTGATAAGTCTAATTTGTAAGATGAAGAAAAATAATATGCCCAAGAGATTCTGTGCAAGTTTTAAGTCTCATTCTTAGATAGCTCTTTTTGAGTTACTACATATCAGGCTGCTGAGATCTGCACCTGACAAAAGATATGGTCTTTAGACTTTCATCAATAGGCAGAGATTAGAGTGTATGGCTGGGAAAAAATTAAGCTGAGAGTGGATGACCAGGAAGTTGCTGCTGTGTGCACAATGTGATGGGTAAGAGCCACTCTCTTTTTTCTCACTTGGTGCCCACTTGTTACTTTTCAGCAATTCCTCAGTTTATCCTTTAGATAATAGGCTGATAAATTTTGCCCTATTAACAATTATTTGGGCCTAGTCCAATTTCTTTCCAAAACCCAACTCACTTATATAAATTCTTAATATTTCATCAGTAATCAATTGTAAGTCCTAACTTCATTGTCTCTAAGAGTAATAGGAATAAGTTTTTTTTTTAAAGTATTGTATTAATCATACATTTAGACATCTAAGATGTTCTCAAACGCTTCCCACATAACATCCAACAAATATAATTTTAGTATCTTCCACTAACTATGCTTCTTAATCTGCTAATGTTACTTTTTTATTCTGTACTTATTAAAACAAGTACTTATGGAAAGTTTATTCTGGACTCAGTATCACGTTATGAGAATTAGCTCTCAAAATCTATGGGTCTTCCTCAGCATATAAATAAATAACTTGCTTATTCTTATATCTGAGCCTTTCTTCATTCATTTTTCTCACTCCAGGAATGTCCTCCTTGTCATTTCACATCTGAGACCCAAGTATGCAATCCAGTTGGGACCAGAATCAAACAACATGAGTATAGTCTAGAGAGCTTCCAGCACAAAGCTGTTTGCTTCCTCTTTTTTTTAAAATACCTTTATTTATTTATTTATTTATTTTTTATATGGTGCTGAGGATCAAACCCAGCGCCTTGCACATGCTAGGCGAGCATTCTATTGCTGACCCAGCCCCCGATTGCTTCCTCTAGATTCTTCTTTGTGTCAGACTTTATCTTCAACATGGCCTCCTTATCTTCTCTAATATATAAACTGTTCAGTGTCTACATAAGGTAGCCTAGGAAATAGTTTTTTCTGCTCTCCATTTTCATCTGCCAAAATCTCCTTATTCTAATACTAGACATTTCTTTTCATACGGTCTGTCAGAAGAATACAACTGCTGAGGCCTTGCAAAGGTTAGTTTCCCCAAGGTGACATTTATGGGCTTTCACTGTGCAGTTCCTGCAAGGACAGCTGCTGGGATCACCGGCCTGCTGGGAAGGATGCAGGTGACAAAAGATGGTTAGGACTACAAATTTGTTGATGGCATTCTGGGATTTGTTAAGATAGTTTCAAAGGATAAGAAAAATGGAGGATACTCGTGGCTTAATTTATGGCTACTTGGTTACCAGGAAATTGTAACTTTGAGCAAAGACAAATTTTGCCCCTTATTTATTCACTTAATTTTTAATAAGAATCTGCTATATGTCAGTTATGATTTTAAGATTAAACATCTGGACATGGCCTCTCTGCCAACAACATGGTCCCTACCCCAAAACATACTATTTCAATGAAGTAGAACTGATTTACTCAGTAAAAGCCATTTAGAAAGTATGACAGAAGCTGTGACAAGTAGAGGGTACACGAGGCACACATGCTCAATGACAGAAGCAAAACTCCAATAGCCACTTATCACTAGAGAAACAAACCAGGGTTTCACTTAATGTGAACTATTACACAATCAGTTGGAATAGTTATTAAGCATCTGAATGACAAGTCCTTTATTTCCCTAAAAGAAGGAAAGCCGAAAATCTACATGTTTTTAAAGGTCTTCAATTATTTATGAAGTTCAGCCAGACTACACTGCTCTAGCAAAATCAAATTAAATACCTGGAGAAAAAAATGGAAACTTGTGAACCAATACTAAAACAATTTTAGTATGAGTTTGCAAACTACATCTAGAATTGACAATCCACCAAAACAAAGCCATTTTTTAAAAAGTCCAAGTGGCAAAAATTTCCTATAGGAAATACAAAGGACAGAAGGGTTTGAATGTTTTTATTTTTTTAAAAAATATATTTATTTTTTAATTGTAGTTGGGCAAAATACCTACCTTCATTCATTCATTCATTCATTTATTTGTGGTGCTGAGGATCGAACCTAGAGCCTTGCATGTGGTAGGCAAGCGCTCTACTGCTGAGCCACAACCCCAGCCCAAATGTTCTTGCTTTTCTTGGTGATATGGATTAAAGAAATGGAACTGTATTTTTTTCTGCTCCAGAAACTTTAAAAGGCAGCAAACTCAAATATGGCTGAAGTTTAACAAAACTACATCACTTTGAAATTTAACTCCTTTTGAGAAGTCTATTTTAATTCTTTCTAAAATGCATCTTTTAAAATACTTTAATACCACATATCATAACTTAAAAGAAGAGTCACTTTTTGGAAACATGTACAAACAAATTTTGAGCAACATATTCTTCTTAATTCAGCTGTGGCTGGAAAGTTTATTTCAAACATAAGTCACAAGACTCAGCAGCTCAACAGAAACATGAAAGAAAGGGAGACTGCTGTTCTAGCTGTGTGAAGTGGGAAAAAAAATGGTGTCATGTTCGGGAGACCACCAAGTGCAGCATTTATGTATCAGTGACTTTACAGCTTGGGGTAAAAGTATAACTATTCTTTATTTCATCATCTAAAACTGAATTTCCATCTGGATCTGTTCTATAAAAAGGACAAGAACCTTGACTGTACTGAAATATTTGTAAATGAGAACAAAATATTTGTTTTATAGAAAATTTCCTTAAAGCTATAAAATATTTGTCACAGAAAATTGGCTTATCACCAACACAATGATCACCACAACCTAGCTAAACTTTAACTCAATCAGTACAAAAAGGACTGTGTAGATTTTAGAAACAAAGAACCAGTAATTTCTCTGTCAAAATTTATTTTAGAAGTAAAATAGATGTTCCCCCAATCTATTAGCTTAATAATATAATTCAGAAACTTGATTTGACACTTCAAATGTCTTACCTAAGTCGTTGTTTTTTGTTATAGCATTAGCTGCCCTGGTTCGGGGTCCTTGCTGTGTAAACTGATACCCAAATTTAAGGATATTTGCATTTTCCTCAAGCATCTTGGCTATTTCCAGTTCTACAGCTGTTCCCAACTGTTGCCTCTGGAAGAATTAGAAATGAATATTAGTATTAAGAAACTAGGTCAAAATTTTTCTCAAGTAAATCAAGACTAAGATATTCAAACACATGTTAATAGCTGGTCTCTTTAAATTTTCCAATTCCTACAATGAACATAGAAACAAACAAACAAACAAAAAAAAGTTTTTTTTTTTTTTCAGTATACCTCCAGCCCTAATTTTTATTTTTTTATTCTGAGACAGGGTCTAAATTGCCATAGCTTGCCTCAAACTTATGATTCTCCTGCCTCAAGTCTCCTGAATATCGGATTACGAGCATGCACCAGTACACTCAGTAAGAAACAAAATTTTAAAAGATCAATATATGATCATACAGACATAAAAAAAAAAGTACATTCCATAATGAGACACCACCTCATGTCCATGAAGAAGAGAATGATGGGGGAAAAAAAGGATAAGCACATGGTGTGGTGCTATGTACCTATAGTCCCAGGTACAAAGGAGGCTGAGGCAGGAGGACTACTTAAAGCTCCCAGAAGTTTGAGACAAACCTGGGCAACATAGCATGACCCTGTTAAAAAAAAAAAAAAAAAGACAACAGCAAGAAGAATGTGGGAAAAACTGAGGGTCCCCTCTGCATTTTTGGTAGGAATATAAAATTCTACAGCTGTCATGGAAAACCATTTGGCAAATGCTCAAGAATTTAAACAGAATAACCATACTATGAAGCAATTCTACTCCTAGGTATGTGCCCAAAAGAAATGAAACTCAAGTTCACACAAAAATTTTTACATGAATGGTCATAGTGGCATTGTTTTTATAGAATATTATTCACCCATCAAAAGGAAAGGAGTACTGATACATGCTATAGCATGGATGAACCTTCAGAACATTATGATGGTAGGTCAAAAAAAAAAAAAAAAACAGTCATAGAAAGTCACATATTACATAATTTCATTGAAACCTTATTACCAGTTTCCAGGCACTGGTAGAAGCAATGAATGTGAGTGATTGCTCATAGGTATGGGTTTTCTTTTTTGGATAGTTATTTTTCAAATTAAAAAAAATTAGTAACCACCCTGGATGGAAGCATTTCTAACATGTATAATTCTCTCTGCCTCTTTAAAAGTTCGTCTGGATGTGGGTGACCCCAGCATTATGTTAAGTACCATGACTGTACTTACTTAGCCAGACAGACTGTGCCCTCAGGGTAACTAGATATTGGAAGTTTTGTTTTGTTTTTTAACAGTACTGTGGACTGAACCCGCTCTACCACTGAGCGACATTCCCAGTTTTTTTTTTTTTTTTCATTTTGAAATGGGGTCTAATTTCCTGAGGTTAGCCTTGAACTCATGATCCTCCTGCCTCAGTCTGCTGAGTAGCTGGGATTATAAAGTATGTGCCACCATGTCTGGCACTGTTCTTTCATTTAACCTATTCCATTAGTCTACTATGTGTTTGAGATTGTGACACATTATAAACATAAAAATCTACAATGTTGATCTTGCTACCAGAGAGCTAAAAAAAAAAAAAAAAAAGGAGGACAGACTGTCACATGTATGAGCCCTTTCAGTTCAAAATAGGCAGCCATCTCAATTCTCTTAAAATGACACAGGGAAAGTTGCTTGGTACACATCTTCAAATACATTAAGTTAATATTCTGGGTGCTCCAAATGTCCTCTCATCCCCTTTAGTCCCCCTTCCCCCCACCTCTTCCACCCCCTGCTTTCCCTGCCCAGGTCCCAAGCCCTACACAGTGTGGGCTGTAGCTATTGTACAACACTGACCTGATTGTCAATTTTAAGCTCTGCCAGGGTCTCATTATCTCTTAAACCATCAATCAGTGCCAGAACCCCAGCTCCTGTAATGAAGTTGGACTCCATATTTAAGCTCTTCAAAGTTTTGTTTACTTTCAGCATATCTGCAAAAGCCTAGAAATTCAAGAAAATATTTGGAGATTAAAATTTGATAGCACCTATTACATGCTGCACATTCCATAAATAAATACATAAATTAACATAACTGCCTTAATGTTTCTCTTTAGATTGTTTCAGCCTGACACAATATTGTAGAGGTTTCACATGTTTTCTACTTGTCACATGTACCCTGTTATAATCTTTAGGTTTTTTTGGTCACATGTAATTTTCTACTCCTATTTACATTCTCATGTTTATTTATATGTTATTTCATGCTTCTTTCTCCTAAGTTTCCAAAGCTTTCTCTCAGTTTCTGTGTAGAAATAATGTCATCTTCTCTTACTGCAGCTGGGTCCTGCTGCAGCTGAATCACTGTGAAGCCAAACTGAGAAGAAATTATAGACTAAATTAATTTCCAAGGCAGAAGACCAAAAAAGATCACGGATAACTAGAACTGAAAGAGCTAAGACTATGGAGAAGAAAGAACTAACTAAATATTAAATTCCTCAAGGAATACTGTCTTTACTCTGCTTCCATTAAATTTCTCTCATGATATGAGGCAATGCTAGTCATTCTGCTCAGTGTTTCTGTGTGTGTGTGTGTGTATGTCTTGGGGATTGACCCTGAGTTCAATCCCTTATATATAAACACACAATAATCTGATACATATACACATAATAATATATGTACATACATATGTAATGATCTAACTCAAGTAAAATCATCAAATTCTGATGCTGTGTAAAAAACTGACTTTGCAGTGGGTAAGACAGAAGGTAGCTCACTAGGAGGCTCCTGCAGGAGTCCCAGTGAGAGAAGATGGTGGCTTGGATTAGGGCATAGTAATTAATGAAAATGGTTAAAAAGTGGTTAGAGTCTAGCTAAACATGGAGGTGCATGTCTGTAATAGCAGCAATTTTGGAGGGATTGCAGGTGTGTGCCACCAGGCCGGCTAGAATCCAACCACTTCCAGCCTCAGCAACTTGGCAAGGCCCTAAGCAATAGCAAGACCCTGTTTCAAAAATAAAAAAAAATAGAGGCTAGGGTTGTGGCTTAGAGGTAGAGCACTTCTCCTAGCATGTATGAGGCACTGGGTCTGATCCTCAGCACCACATAAAATAAAAAGATATTGTGTCCATCCTATAACTAAAAAATAAATATAAAAAAATAAAAATAAATAAAAATAAAAAAACCCCAAAAAGTCTGGGGCCAGGCACGGTGGCTCACACCTATAATCCCAGAGGCTCAGGAGGTGAAGGCTGGAGGATCACGGGTTCAAAGCTAGCCTCAGCAATTTAGCAAGGCACTAAGCAACTCAGTGAGACCCTGTCTCTAATAAAATACAAAACAGGGCTAGGGATGTGGCTCAGTGGTCGAGTGATTCTGTATTCAATCCCTAATACCAAAAAAACAACAACAAAAAAAAGTGATGTAGCTCAGTGGTAAAGTGCCCCTAGGTTAAATCCCTAGCACCAAATAAAATAAATAATTAATTAAATAAAAGAAATTGGTTGAATTCTAGAAACATTTTGAAGATGGTACTGAATGTGTTTTTAAGGCTGTCAGAAAGGGATGTCAAAGATGATTCCTTTGTTTTGCCTGAGAAATAGATCAAAGTTGCTATTTAAGTAGAAAAGACTGTGAGTCAGGAGTTTGGTTTGGGAGTTTGATGTAGGTGTCTATTAAATATCCAAGTAAAGCTGTTGAGTAGGAAGGTGAGCATATGTAAGGAGTTCAGGAGAGAGGTACAAACTGGAGATAGTAACACTGGGAGTCATCAGCATACATAGTTAGCATACATGGATGAAATGGAATGAGATCACCTAGGAAGGTGCAGACAGAGAAAAGAAGGATGAAGGCCTGGACTAATTCCAATGTTTAAAGGTTGGGGAGATGAGGAGGAACCTTGTGTAGGGAGCTGAAATCACTTAGTGAGGTTAGAAGAGAACCGAAGGAAGTGAAATTCCCAAAGCAAAGTGAAGGAAAAGGTTCATACCATGACCAGGGATTTATCTCAGGAATGCAGGGCTGACTTAACATACAAAAATCATTAGTGTTAATGTATCATATTAATAAAGAACAAAAGCCACATGATCATTTCCACAGAGAAAAAGCAAAAACATTAAAAAAAAATAAACTACAAAAGTCTAAAACTACAGAACCATATATGAAATCCTCTGCAGATGTTAAAAGAATATATTAGGTTTTTATGTGCTGGTATGAAAAGATCTCTAAGATAAATGTTGAGTGAAAAATCATGTTACAGAATAGTATATATTGCATAATTCCATTTATGTTTTTGTTTTCACAGTGCTGGGGATCAAACCCAGAGCCTTGCACACATCAAGCAAGCACTCTACCACTGAGTTATACCCCAATCCCCATTTATGTTTTAAAAAGTTCATAGAAAGAAATGCAGGAAAGGGCTAGGGATGTGGCTCAAGCTGTAGTGCGCTCGCCTAGAATGTGCAGGGCCCTGGGTTCGATCCTCAGCACCACATACAAATAAAGATGTTGTGTCTACTGAAAACTAAAAAAAAAAAAAAAAAAAAATTCTCTCTCTTAAAAAAAAAAGAAATGCAGGAAAAAATAAACACAAAAAGGTAGTAAATAATGAATTGCCTAATAGTGAGCTTAAACATCAATTGAAAAAAGGGACTAAATCTTGTTTAAAAAATCAGTTTGACTTCATTGTAACATATCCAGGTATGCATGCATTATTTCAATATTCTTAATAGTAGTGTACTTACAACAGCAACAGGATCATTGCTTCGGGTGGCTGCAAGACTGAAATATTTCACATGTGTATTGGTTTCCAAAGCCTTTGCAAAGTCTTTTAGGGTTGGAATTGGGATATTCTTGAAAGACAATAACATGTAACATATTTCATTTTAGTTTTTAAATTCAGTCCATTAATTAAATATACCTGTACTTACTTTCTGTTTTAAAAGATACTCAGAAATTATAATAACAAGTTTATAAATGAAAAATAGCAATGTCCTCAATATCTATGTGATTCTCTATATTGGTGCATTTGCAGAAACATACCACTATTTCTCTAGCACTTCAGTTAAAAGAAACTCACCATTCTACTTTTAATTGTTTTAGTATATGAAACCAACCCCTAATTGTCCAAAATGGAACCACTTTTCTCTAAGAAGAGAATCATACTCCACTGAGTATGATTCCTGAGGCAGATGACATACAATTCTCAGTTGCTTAGTTTACAGACTTAGGAGAGATTAACCCTATACTACCTAAAGGAGGAAAATATGGAAACCACTGATTTTTCTGGTGGGCAATCAAGATGCCAAGTCCCTATAGTCTTGCAGTTTTCAGATCATTAATCTTTACTTAGAAACAAAGAGATACAGGGAGTGAATTTAAAAAAAAAAAACCCAGACAATTAGTGATCAATAAGGATACTCATTTTCTCCAAGACCTTCTTTCCTCCTAACTCATTTCTTCTTTCCTTACTCCAAGGAAGAGTTGCATTGTTTAAAAACCAATAAAATCTCAGAAAACCCATTTCTAGATTATTTACCCAAGAGAAATAAAAACATATGTTCATATGAGAACTTGTACTGTAGTTTTATATGTAATCATCCCCAATTAGAAGCAACCAATATGGATAAACACACTGTAGCATATCCACAGGATGGAACGATACTCAGCAATAAAGGAACAAAATCCTGATACCTGCAACAACAGGCAAATCTCAAATACATTATGCCAAATGAGAAAGCCAGACTCAAAAGGCTACATTCTGTATGATTCTTTTTACATGACATTCTGGAAAATACAGAATTATGGAGAAAGAAAATAGATTGGTGGTTGTCAGGGGTGAGTTGTGGGGAAGAGAATGACTACAAAGGGGCAAAGGGGTATGAGGAACTTCTGGGGTAACAGACATGTTTTTTATCTTTACTTTGGCAATGGTCATACAACTGTGTATATTTGTCAAAACTCAGAACTGTATACTAAAAGGGAGAATTTTACCACATACAAACAACACCTTAAAAAAATTTAATTTGGCAAGATGTGGTGATGCATGCGTGTAATACCAGAAGCTCGGGAGGCTGAGGCAGGAGGACTGCAAGTTCAAAGCCAGCCTCAGCAAAAGCAAGGTGCTAAGCAACTCAGTGAGACCCTGTCTCTAAATAAAATACAAAATAGGGCTGGGGATGTGGCTCAGTGGTCAAGTGCCCCTGAGTTCAATCACCAGTCCAAAAACAAACAAACAATAAAAAGAAACTAATTTAAAAAACAATAAAAGAGCTGGGGACATAGCTCAAAGGTAGAGCATTTGCCTTCTATGCAAAAGGGCCTGGGTTCAATGACCAGTGCCACAAAACAAACAAAACCCCAAAGACTGAAGTTCTTCAAAGAAGGCAGTACTTTAAAGGTCAGAGAGATTTACCGAGAGTTTTTAGGGCTTACACTTTTTATAATAAACTCTTTTAAAAGTAAGTAAAAAACGCTATTATATAATACCTTAATTTCCAAAATTTGAAGGAACCTATATTACTACATGCTCATGAGCAAAAACTTTACCTTAAAGTAGAATCAGACTACTATATCAAAACTACCCCACTGTTATCCTAGGTTCAACTAATTCAAAGCAATACAAAACAACTTTATGGTCTGCTTAACACACTTACCTTTATGTTATTCAAATTAACTTCAACAAGATGAGCATCGTTTTCTTTAATTCTCTTTAAACTCTCTTCAACGTTGGTTGGATTTGGTGGCTCATCAAATGCTGGAAGAATCTTTTCACCTTTCACTACATCTGTAGTAAACAACGAAAAGAGCACAAGTTGACGGATTGAGAATGGATTCACACAGTTACTTGGTAACACACACCCGTCTCTCTCTTTCACACATGCACACACACATACTTAACAGAATAGATTTAAGAGTTCCTTCTCCATAATTCCTAAAAGAACCTTTGTGTGTTGACATATACATATAAAGTTGAAATAAGATATTATTAAATACAAACACCAAGGGAAGAGTAGGCTCTTTCTCATTTAAATTCATCAAGACAGTCTTCTTCAAGATAGCAAATCAAGGGAGATGGGGAAGTTCTTTCTCACTGAATGGAAAATTTAGTGTGTTCTATATTTTATAAAACCAAAGGATTTCTTTTCCCATTCAACAAAATATGTTTATTTAAAGAGCCCTGCCCCTTAATGAAACAAGGGATCTGGCCAATGGGATGCTGAAATCATTAGGTAAATAAGGAGCTTTACACAGATGATCTGATTACCAACATCTGAATCTACTGATCAATCTTAACAAGTTCCCCAAAGATGAGGATCAGTCTTGATAAGCTGCTACTGCTGTTTCTTTCTTTCTTTTTTGGTACAAAGGATTGAACACAGGGAGGCTTAACCACTGAGCCAATCCCCAGCCCTTTTTATTTTTCATTTAGAGACAGAGTTTCACTAAGTTGCTTAGGGCCTTCCTGAGGCTGCTGAGGCTAGTTTTGAACTTGTGATCCTCCTGCCTCAGCCTCCCAAGTGGCTGGGATTACATGCATATGCCACCATAGCTAGCTTGATAAGCTTCTTAATGTGATTCAATCACCAACTGTGAGGCATTCTTAAAAAAACAAAACAAAGCCCTGCAGCTGAATCTGATCAAGCCACTAGACTGAACAGAAACAAAGGAGACACGAAAGGTAACATCATGGGGTTGCAATCAGCTGAATAGAGGATGTAGACATTTTTACTTGAATGAAACCCAGTTTCTTCAAGAAATAAATGACATGAAAAAGTGGGGGGGAAGAGCCAGTTGAGGAGAACTGTTAAGAAATTAAGAGAGACTGGAAAATCAAATAACCAAATGCAATGTGTAACCCTTATTTGGACCAAGCATGAAATGACTTTTTTGAAAGAACATGGAAAATCTGGACTTGCAATGGATTTTGGAGATATGAAAAAATTATTCATTTTTAAGTTTAACAATGGCATGTGGCTGTTAAACAGAAATGACTTGGCTAGGCTTGTTGGGGCTGAGACTGGAGGATCAAAGCCAGCCTCAGCCACAGGGAGGTGCTAAGTAACTCAGTGAGACCCTGTCTCTAAATAAAATACAAACATAGGGCTGGGGATGTGGCTCAGAGTGCCCCTGAGTTCAATCCCTGGTACCCTCCCCCCCCCACCGCAAAAAAAAAAAAAAAAAGACTTTTTTATTTGTAAGAGACACATATGGAAAATATTTACGGATGAAGTAACATAAGTGAACAGGATTGGCTTTAAAATACTTAAGAAAAAAAAGTGGATTAAGTTGGAAGTGAGGCAGAAGGTAGATGAAACAAGGTTGGCAAAATGTTAAAATACAGCTGAACCTAGGAGATGAATACATTATTCTTTTTTTCTTTTATGTATATTAAAACATTTCTTAAAGAAAAAGTTAAATTTAAACTGGGGAGGATGGCCACATTATAGACCATTATAAAACAATGTTGTGTAGATGTCGGAATGAAGTATATTTATATATACTAACCAGGAAACATGGTACATTGCTGAGTGATTTACTCCACAGCATGTGTTAAAACTACTGATTTTTGTGTGACAGTGAGGCTCCTTAAGTCTTCATTCTAAATCCTAGCTCCCTCACATGCAAATTAAAGATAATAACAACAACAATAATAATAATATTTATTTCACAGAACTGTTGTAAGGATTGAGAATAATCCACATTCAGAAACTGTGCCCAAAAAACATGGCCACAGAAAACACCGAAAAAAAATTAGCCAATAGCATTATTACAGTAAGGTGCAAGGAATATTTATAATATATCACTTTAAAAAAATTCAAACAACTCCCCCCAAACAATTTATATTATATATAACACATATAGATTTGTATAAACAGTAAAGTCTAGAAGGTTATATATCAAATTGTTAACAGGATGGTGGTGGAGGAGTAGTGGGCACAATGACTGTGGATGGAGATATTTTTACTTCTTATCCTTATACACTATTTAAACGTGCTACAAATCATGTATTGCCTTAAGAATTTAAAAACACTTTAACAATGTATTTTTTAAATTTTTAAAAAATATTTATTAAAAAAATGTTTTAAAAAACCATTTAATATTTAGAACCAGACTGAAAGGCTTAGGGGCTGAATATTTTTGTGGTTTCTCCTGAATCTGATTTTATAACACAGATTCTTTGAACTGCTTTGAATTTCTTAGAAATCAGCAATAACAATGATAACATATCAATAAAAACTAAGTCTAACTAGTTTTTTTTTGAGGTTCTGGGAATTGATTCCAGGGTCTTGCATACTAAGTTTTATATTGCTTACTATTAATATTATTTACTGAGATAACAGCAGTTCCTAGTACATTTGCTAACAAATTAAGCAAAAAGTATTTATTACTTTATTTTCAATGGCTTTCTTTGTCAATATCATCAAACTGAAATTTTATTTCAAGTACATATATACAATATTTGGTATATAAATACTAAGACTAATACATGAAGAAAACAATATATTTAGTAAAGGATTGGAATTCACAAAATATTTTAAGTACTCACTTGAAAAATGTCCTTTATCAACACCATTACTACTTCCCACTATATCACAAAATTGTGTATTTGTTATCAAATTATGCATCCCAAGAATAGCTGTAAATATAGGAAAAGAGAATTAGGCTTTATTTCCATCTGCTTTAAACTCCCCTCCCACCTCGAGACAGAGTCCTGCTCTGTTGTCCAGGCTAGTCTCTTGGGTTCAAGTGATTCTCATGCCTCAGTCTCCCAAGTAGGTGGAACTATAGGTTTGCACCAATGTACCTGGCTTGCAACCAAAAATTGTTATCAATAACTTTAACATGCTCCAGACACTTTTTTACTAACTAAATGCAAATTTTACAGTAAAAGAGGAGATAAAGTGATTAAAAATCACCTACAATCTCATCCTCACAAATACCCTTGTTATTTTCCTTCCTATTTCTGAATTTAAGATTAGTCCACACTTTAAAATTCAGATTCACAGCTGAAGTCAGCCTAACCATATTTAAGGTAAACCAGTGCTTAGCTCCATCTGGTGGCTAAAAAAGAAAATTGATCAATTTATCTCAATAAGGCTTCGAGGAACATAATGCTATAAAAGACAGGTTTCACCTTATCTCTGCTATTTTTTAATTTTTTTAAGTTGTCAATGGACCTTTACTTTTATTTATATGTGATGCTGAGAATCAAACCCAGTGCCTCACACATGGTAGGCATGCACTCTACCACTGAGCTACAACCCCAGTCCCTCTGCTATTTTTATATTTGTTAAATTCATGTCATTTAAATTACATTTACATTCTAGTTAAGATTAGAATACTATTAAATTCTCAAAGAATAAAGTAGCATCCCTCAGGAAATAAGTTTAATTTTTGATGCCTTTTTTGTACAAATAAGGCAGAAGTTTCAGTATGCCCTGACCCATTTCACTCTTACAAATGTACATCTACAAATCCACCAGTCCTCAGTCCCTCAAGGAATACAGCGCATGCTCTGTGACACCACACTTCAACTTTCCTCTTCCAAGGTCCTTCCCAAAGAACCATCATTACTACTTTCAAACATGTTAGTTCTTGGGGTTATTTGGTACTAAGATCTACCCATGTGTCACATTTTTCTGTTGAGAAAAATGGCAGAGATTTCACTCGTCTATATAAGACATTCACAATGATGAAAATAATAAGAAAGTTTGGAGTGCTCCATATACACTTTAGAAAAGTTAGCAAAGTGGCAAGTAAAATTCAGAACTGACTGATCCACTTGCTTTCCAGTGACCTATCTCTAGGTCTTCTGATAAAATGGGGCAGCAATCGACCCTTGAAGACTCTTTCAGTTTTCAGATAGGACAGCTTCTAGCCCAGCAAACGGTGATGAAAGATTTTTACCAAAACTTTCAAGTACGGCAACAAAGGAGAAGTGTCAAATATAAAATAAATCCTTTTAGTGTAAACACTTCACTATTGAGAATATTTAAAGAAACCTGCATGTCAGATTGCTGTGTGAAATACAAAGCCAAATATATGGCTACTCATCTTTAGCAGGTTGTTAGGCAAAGCAAGCATTTGTAGGATGGATACTGGTATATCCTTTGGTCTCTCCCCATCCCAGGTACTCATTCACAAATTTTTTTTAGGGATACCTGCAAGGTCACACAATTCTGTATCAGAAGCACTCATCAAAGCTTCTTCTAATTCTGGATCAACAGATACACTTTCCTCTGTCAAAGTCTGTACAGGTTTCTGTTTGGGGATAAATATTTTTCCTGTAAAATAAAAACATTTTATTAATTTCACTACTATAGTTATTTAACTCATTACCATTTTACCTTTCTTCCAACAAATATTATTAAAAGTATACACAACCAAAGTTGAAGGAAAAGTCAAGATTAACATCCAGTGATTTTGTTTAATTTTTGATGCAGATTTATTGAATTTCCAGGACAATACCTTAGAAAGAAAAGATAACAGAAATTTTCCCACCTGAGGAAATAAAAATTGGCTCTTTTTAGAGTAATTATGAGTTGCTTTATAAATACCGACTCAATAAATAAATAAGTAAAACCCACAACACTTTAAAAAAAATCCAATGTCTTGTTTTTTTTTTTTAATTTATTTTTTTTTCAGTTGTAGTTGGACACAATACCTTTATTTTGTTTGTTTATTTTTATGTGGTGCTAAGGATCAAACCCAGGGCCTCGCACGTGCTAGGTGAGCATTCTACTGCTGAGCCACAACCCCAGCCCCAATGTCTTCTTCTTAAGCAACAAATTGCCATAGTCACTTGAGGAATGGTAGAAGCAATCATGACTCTAGAAATTTAATATCTACTTACAAAGAAATTCCCATATGTTCTGAGTGGTATTCTGAAACTCTTGATCACTGTGCCTCTAAGCATCAATGGACACTAAGAAGGTTATCTGTGCCGGGCATCTCCCACATGTGACTATTAAGTTATAGTGAGAATAATGATTTTTTGCAACTCTACGTCTTCAAGTCTTTCGGGTTAGGTATCTTCTTACTTAAAAAAAAAAATGGCACTTGGTCAATCCAAAATGTGTTTGGGTTAGTAGGGCTGAATTAAGTGAATATTAACAGAATGCTCAATTAAAAGTAGTTTAAACTTGTGCCTCCCAAGCATTAATGTGCACTGCAGTAACCTGGTGACTGATTAAAGTGCAAATTCTGACACAGCAGGTCTGAAGTGGGGTGGGAGATTCTGCATTCCTAACCATAACCTCCCAGATGATGCTGACACTGCTTATCCACAGAATGCTCTTAAAGCAGCAAGGATTCAACCAGTAAGGATGTTTATTATCTCAATAACAAGGTTCTAGGGTTTAGCAGCTCAATGTTGAAATGAAGAATCCAGGCTCTTTCCACATTTCTTTTTGGCTGCTCCAGCATGAAATCCTTTGTTCTAAAGTTTTCAAAGTCTCAAGATGGCCTCTATAGTGCCAATTGTCTGTCTCCATGAAATAAGACAGGAAGGAAAGAAGGGTACTTTCTCAATTGTCAACTTTTACAAGGAAAACTTCCTCAGTCTTCTCTGGTCTTACCTACCAGCAATGGGTCACATGTTCATGCCTCAGCTTCAAAGGTAGCTTTGAAGGAATCATTGCTGAATAGGCAATGAGTGTTTATCCCAATATTGAAAGCAAGTGGAGTACGTCTATTTCCTTAATTCCCTGCACATTTACCCATGGCTACATTTACATATTCTGCACATGTGCCTGAATTCTTCAAACTTTTCAAGGACATGGTCTACATTCTGTTCATCCTGTGTCCTTGCCTAGAGCACAGTAAGCAATCCAACTTGTTTGGTAAATAATTTGGTGATCACCTCCAGATCAATGACCTTACTTTATAAAGTATAATTTAAATATGTTGGTTCAAAGTAACAGCAGAACTAACTCAAGAGGAGAAGTTCTCAAACTCTCCCTCAACCCCCCTTTTTTTTTGGGGGGGGGCAAGGATACTAGGGGTTGAACCCAGGGACACTTTATCACTGAGCTAAATCACCAGTCCTTTAAAAAAATTTTAATTTTGAGACAAGGTCTTGCAAAGTTGCTGAGGCTGGCCTTCAACTTGTGATCCTCTTGCCTCTGCTTCCCAAATTGCTGGGATTACAACCATGCACCACCACATCCAGCGAGAAGTTCCCAAACTCCCAAGTCAGTCCTTTTTTCAATAAACTAGTGGCTTACAGACTTAATTTTTTTTAGCAGTAGATTTCCCCCCACCATAAAAAAAGCCAAATTATATGGGAGTATATATAATTGATCTTACTATCAAATTCTGGAGTTCTGGTGATTAGATAATCTTTTATTATTGGTCACAGAAAAAGACAAATAGCAAATCATTATGTTCTGATAATTCCAGGGAAGTTTTTACTGTTGATATTAAAGGATTTCAGTGCATAGTATCCAAGGTTGAGAACCAATGGATTATGGAATTTGTTGACTGAATAAAACTACACAAGCTATTTACCATAAACATTTGAAAATTAGGGCTGGGGTTGTGGCTCATGGCCTTGCACATATGAGGAGCTGGGTTTGATCTTCAGCACCACATTAAAAAAAAAAAAAAAGGTAGTATGCCCATCTATGACTAAAAAAAAAATTTAAAAAATTGAAAAGTGAAGTAATACTATGTTAAATAGCTTCATTTAGTCTTCCTAGAGTATGTATACATACCAAAATATCATGTTGTACACCACAAATATGCATAGTTTTTATTTGTCAGTTAAAAAAAAAGACAGACACTTGGCATACAGGTTCTAGGGGTATATAGTTCAGTGGTAGAGCATGTGCTCAGTACGTACAAGGCTCTTGATTCAATTCCCAGCACCAAAAGAAAAAAAAAAAAAAGAAAAAACTAATTAAAAAAAAGTGGCATACTGGGGCTTGGGTTGTGGCTCAGTGGCAGAACACTTGCCTAGCCTATGTGAGGCACTGGTTCGATCTTCAGCAATGAAGTTTTTTTTTTTTTTATAAGCTGAATATATAGTTCAGGGAGCATGACTTTAATTGCCACTTCAGATTAATTATATTTTCCTGAGCTCAGTCTCTCACTTGCATTTTCAATTGTCTATGGCAGTGGTTCTCATTGTTGGAAGCACGGTGGATTTTCCAGGGAGCTTTAAGAAATTCTGATATCTGGGTTGGTGCTAAGAGCCATAGCCAAGTAGTATGATACATGGCATTTTTGGTTGAAAGGTGATGGCAGCAAGCCATTGAGATGAGATGATTATGTTAAGATCTGCATTCATATGGATATTAGACCCCTGCTGTCCACCTCTGCTACGGGACTCCTGGAGAGTTCCCATTGGTTGGGGAAGTGCGGTAGGAGGGAATTCCGGAGGAGGGATTTCCTGTTGCTGGTCCGGGAGAATGCCGCATGGGTCGGTCGGTCTTTTTCCTGGGAGCATATGGGGGATTGGCGGGGAGTTTCAAAAATAAAGTTTGTTCCTGCTTGAGTGGCTCGTGATTTTGTGCCCAGCCAGACTGCGGCAATTGGTGGCCCGTACGGGGAACGCCTGAAGCTTGGAGGTGAGTAAAATTGCTCGCCCCTGAGGGAAGGCGAGAGAATGGGTGACCATTTCAAAAAACAATGTGTTCTTGTTTTGATTTATTTTGTTTTTGTTTCAAGCTGCCTATCCCTAGACCTTTCTCAGGCAAACTGGGAAAAATGATTGGCTCAAGGTTTGAAGTTGTTCGGCCCTGAGAAAGAGAAAATTGATACAACGATTTTTTGTTCCGTTTTTGTTTCATTCTGTTTCGGTTTTGTTTTATGTTATCTCATTGGGTTGCGTTACCTTTATAGTAGATTAGAAATTAGTAAAAAACAAACCGAAAGACTGTTAAGTAAATTGTTAGAGGTCCAGACTATGGTAGAAAACATGTTAGGTCAAGCAAAAGAGAAGGTCTCTCGAGCAAGTCAGATAGAGGAATAAAATTTAAAGGAAGAAAGCGTAGAAGAAAAACAACCATCATGGGGGGAGCTACAACAGGAGGCTGCTACTAACTCCGTTCTATCACCAGAGGGCTAATTCAACCAACAGCTCCATCTATAGAGACAGCTGAGTGGCCCTCAACCCCCGTAGTTGATAGACGGAATCCTGAGGCAGGACCTCAAAGATTAGCATGCCCTGTACGTGAGCAGGCAGGAGGGCAATGAATTCACTGTGCTTTAGATTTCAAAACAGTGAAGCAATTAAAGGAGGCTGTAACAACCTATGGTCCACAAGCACCCTTCACCATAAGCATGGTCGAATCTATTACCAACTTGGACATGACGCCAGCAGATTGGGCTAATATGTGTCGATCTGTGCTAAATGGAGGACAATATTTGTTATGGAAGGTTGCCAATGAGGAATTTTGCACGGAGACAGCTAGGCGAAATGCAGCAGCCGGTTACCCTCAAAGAAATCTAGATATGTTGTTAGGAAAAGGACCTTATGAGGGTCAACAGCAACAAATTGAATATGATCCTGGTGTATACGCACAAATTGCTGTAGATGCGGTTAGGGCATGGAAAACTTTACAGGGGCATGGAGATTTACAAGGACAATTATCTAAGGTAATACAAGGAACTAATGAACCTTACGCTGAATTTGTAGATAGGCTTATTCAAACAGCTTCCAGAATTTTTGGGGATACAGAACAAGCAATGCCATTAATAAAACAACTGGCTTATGACCAAGCAAATCGTTGCTGCAGAGAGGTCATTAGACCATGGAGACATGAAGATTTAAACACATATATTAAATTATGTAGAGACATTAATGAACAAGGGCAAGTCTTGGCAGCTGCAGTACAACAGGCTTTAGATGCCAGGCCAAAAACATGCTATAATTGTGAACAAACAGGACATTTTAAAAGGAGTTGCCCCATAGGAGGAGGGTTTAACAAAGCTAGGTATCAAAGGAATAGAATACTGGGTATTTGCCCACGATGCCGTAGAGGGAGACATTGGGCTAATGAATGCCGTTCTCAAACCACCATAGAGGGTATTCCGTTATCAAAAAATGGACAAGGACCAAGTATGTACCCACGATATCGTGGAGAAAGGCATCAGGCTCCATTGCCAAAAAACGGACTGGGGGACCCAATGCTCGGGGCCCACAACCACAAATATACGGGGCAATGGAGGAACCCAGCAATACCATCAGGGTAGTGCCCAGGACACATTATCCATTAAATCCCTCATCAGACAAACTAGAGGGAGCGCAGGGTTGGACATCTGCGCCTCCGCCAGAGCAGTACTAACTCCAGAGATGGGAGTTCAAATCATTCCCACAGGGGTAAAAGGACCTCTTCCCCAAGGAACAGTAGGCTTATTATTGGGACGCAGTTCTTCTACACTAAAAGGACTTATGGTAAGTCCTGGGGAAATTGATCCTGATTATGTAGGTGAAATAAAAATTATAGCTAGTTCTCCAAGAGGTATATCAGTAATTTCACCCGGAGATAGAATAGCACAGTTATTAATAATACCCAGCCTGCATGATAAATTTTCCAGTCATAGTGTAGAAAGAGGTTCCAGGGGATTAGGCTCCACAGGTGTAGATTGGGCTATGCTGTCTTTAAATTTAGATTCTTGCCCAATGCTAAAACTAAATATTCAAGGACATGAATTTAATGGGCTACTGGACACAGGTGCTGACCTTAGCATCATATCTCGTCAAGAATGGCCAAAACACCGGCCATTACAACAAGCCACTCAAATGCTTCAAGGCCTAGGAGTGGCGACTAATCCCCATAGAAGTGCAATGGTATTAGATTGGAAGGATCCTGAAGGATGTGAAGGAACTATACAGCCATATGTATTGGATCATCTTCCTATAAATTTATGGGGACGAGATGTCCTAGATCAATTAGGTTTGACATTAACAAATAACATCAATCCTAATGTGCCCACTACTACGGCTAAACAAGGCTTTAGAAAAGAAAAAAGATTAAGAGAACAAGAACAAGGTATAACAGCACCAATTCAAATAGATCAAGGAAAGGGCCACTGAGACAATCAAAATTACTTGGAAATCAGAAAGACCAGTATGGGTTCCTCAGTGGCCCCTGACTAAATTCAAATACGAGTAGATCAACTCAAATCACTTAACGACTTTCAAAAGTTATTGGGAGACATAAATTGGACAAGGCCTTATCTAGGCATACCAACAGGAGAGTTGGGACCTTTATTTGATATCCTAAAAGGTCCATCAGATCCAAATTCACCCCGCATGTTAACGTCTGAAGCAAGAAAGGTATTAAAAATCATTGAAACATATATGGAAAATATGCATTTGGATAGAATTGATATAAGTTTGCCTTTATTATTTATTGTACTACCAACAAAAAATATTCCTACAGGAGTATTTTGGCAAGAAGGTCCATTATTGTGGATACATTTATCTTATTCTCCTAACACTATTCTTACTAGGTATCCTGAGGCTGTAGGACAATTAATACTCAAAGGAATAAGAGCAGCAAAGGGAGTGTTTGGGATTTCTCCAAATAAAATTATTACTCCATATACTTGGGCAATAATCATGTGTAAATCTAATGTTTCATTTGATAATCACTTACCATCTAATCCTTTGTTGTCTTTTTGGTCTTCGCATCCTGTAGTTTTTCCAAAAATGACAAAAAAAAAAAAAAAAACCCTATCATAAATGCTCCAAATATATTCACTGATGGGTCAAATAATGGTACAGCAGCAGTAGTTACCCCTGATCAAACTTTTACATTTTTAGTACCCAAACAATCAGCTCAAAAGGTAGAGCTTAATGCAGTATTACAAGCTTTTGTGATGTTTAAAGATTCTATATTTAATTTATTTTCTGATAGTCAGTATGTAGTTAATGCTATAATATCCCTTGAAGATGCTGGTAGGATTTCCCCTTCCTCTACTGTTTTCTCTTTGTTTTCCACTATACAAAGTCTAATCTGGGACAGAAAAGATCCATTCTTTATAGGACATATCAGGGCACATACAGGATTGCCTGGAGCCCTTAGTTTGGGCAATGAATTAGCAGATAAATCTACACATGACATACATATTTTCTCCACAATAGAAGAAGCTATAAATTTTCATAAAAGGTTCCATGTCAATGCTAATACTTTACAAAAGCGTTTTAAAATAACTAAGGAACAAGCCAGACATATAATAAAACAATGTCAAAATTGTGTGACATTTTTACCACAAGTTAATCTTGGAGTCAATCCTAGAGGACTGATACCTAACCATATTTGGCAAATGGACGTCACACACTTGCCAGAACTTGGAAAATTAAAATATTTGCATGTTACATTTGATACTTCTTCCAGATTTTTGATGGGCTCCCTTCATGCCGGAGAAAAAACTAAAGATATTATAGCTCATTGCTTACAAAATTTTGCCACTGTGGGCGTTCCAAAACAGTTAAAAACAGATAATGGTCCTGGCTATACCTCTACCTCTTTTAAACAATTTTGCTCATTATTTGGCATTACTCACGTAACAGGAATTCCATACAATCCACAGGGACAAGGCATAGTTGAAAGAGCTCATCAAACTTTAAAATGTACTTATTAAAACAAAAAGAGGGAATTGCAAAGGGGTATATATCCCCCAAAGATAAACTTAAAATAACCCTTTTTACTCTAAACTTTTAAAATTTGGATTCATCAGGGCTTAGTGCTGCGGAAAGACATATGTATCCAAAAAATGTACATAAGCCTAAGGTACTTTGGAAGGATATTCTAACAGGACAATGGAAAGGTCCTGACCCAGTGATTGTCTGGAGTCGGGGTTCTGTTTGTGTGTTGGGGAGAACAACAGCCGATTTGGATTCCAGAGAGACTAACCAAAACAATTTCTACAGACCAAAAAGAAGATGATTTGACTCAAATCTATAACAGCTGATATCCAGAGCTCCAGCTTGGCTATTCTTACATCTGCGACAGTGATTAACCAGGATGCTTTTTTCAATATCTATTTTATTATTGTCTTTTCCCACATCATAAAGTTCTATTTTATTTTTGAGCTCATACCGACCTAGGTTAATGTTTTTCTGATCAGTTTTATTTTTTGACTGTGGAGTTTTTAAACATTGCAATGGAGATTTCACCTATGTAAAGCTACAAGGCCTTTACTATTGTCTTATGTGTTGTATGTTATGTGCGCACACTTCTGTTTTGAGTTGTATGTCTGTATGTGCGTATGTCCATATATCATATATGAGGAGCGCTCATGAATAAATGGATCCGAATTTTTTTTTATTATTCACGTGATTTTAATGGTTTAATTTAAATTGGGTAAACAGCTGTTGAGGATTGTTTTAATATGTGAACAAATAAGGAGGTTAACAGATCTGTTTGTTTACTTTCACCTTTCCTTTTCATTATATTTAATAATTCTGTTCAGGATAACGTAAATTGTTCAGAAAATTGTTTTCTTAGTATCTGTTGGAATGTTACATAATTTTTTTTTTTAGCATCGTTGTCAGAATTCCTATTTTCATCCCAGTGCCGGTGAAGACAAAGATGAAACCAAACTACAGCTTCTTCGATAGTTATCACAACAAACTGTATAAACTGATGCATCAATGAATAATAACTCAACAAGTAATGCTCAATCAAGGAGTCGATTTATTTTGGGAGGAATGGACATACTGATAGATTCCTCCGCTTTGAACTGCTTGCAGAACTTGCCTGGACTATGTATCACTTGTATGCATTGTGAACTATCTGTTAATGCAGAGAATTATGGTAGTGCTGGCGTATCTTTGCTGATGTGTCACCAGTGATGCAATTTTTCCAAAGGAGCCGTCAATTGGCTTGGTGTCATGGCATTTCTGTATCCTCCTCCCTTCTACTAGTGATGGTCTAAATTTGGGGGCCCACAGAGGTGAGGCAAAGAACCTCACCCCCCCACCGGCACCAAGGCCAAATTTGGGGGCCAACAGAGGTGAGGCAAAGAACCTCACCCCCCCACTGGTGCATAGGCCTATCCACAAGTATGGCTATATGCTGGAACGGTAGTCAGTGACGGGTATGATCCAATTGCAGTGGTATCAACCTAAGACAGGAGGCTGATGCCTAGAGGTCAGTTCATCCGATGACGGGTAAGAACCATATATTGAACTGGACAACCTAACAGGCACGGTCCCTAAGCCACATTGCTTGTTGCTTAATTAAACAGAAGTGGGGAGATGCTAAGAGCCATAGCCAAGTAGTATGATGCATGGCATTTTTGGTGGAAAGGTGACGCCAGCAAGCCATTGAGATGAGATGATTATGTTAAGATCTGCATTCATATGGATATTAGACCCCTGCTGTCCACCTTGGCCTGCTACGGGACTCCTGGAGAGTTCCCATTGGTTGGGGAAGTGCGGTAGGAGGGAATTCCGAAGGAGGGATTTCCTGTTGCCGGTCCGAGGGATTTCCTGTTGCTGGTCCGGGAGAATGCCACGTGGGTCGGTCGGTTTTTTTCCTGGCAGCCTATGGGGCATTGGCGGGGAGTTTCAATAAAGTTTGTTCCTGCTTGAGTGGCTCGTGATTTTGTGCCCAGCCAGACTGCGGCAGGCTGGGGGTGTAGTTCAGTGGTAAAGTGTTCACCTCACATGTGGAAGGCACTGGGTTTGACCCTTAGCACCACATAAAAATAAGATAAAGGTATTGTGTCCATCTACAACTAAATATATATATATATATATATATATATATATATATATATATATATATATATATATATATATAAAAGAAATTCTGATATTCAAATTTTGCAACCCCATCTTACCCTATGCCACTCCAGTCAGATTCTGGTTTAACTGGTCTAGTGTGCTGCTTGGGGCTCTTGAAGGACTCCAATGCATAGTATCCAAGGTTGAGAACCAATGGATTATGGTATTTACTGACCAAATAAAACTACACAAGCTATTTACCATAAAAAATTGAAAAGTGGGGGCTGGGGTTGTGGCTTAGCAGTAAAGCGCTTGTCTAGCACATGTGAGGCCCTGGGTTCGATCCTCAGCACTACATAAAAATATATAAAAAAATAAAGGTACTGTGTCCAACTACAACAACAACAACAAAATGGAAAGTGAGGTGATACTTATGCTAAATAGCTGCATTTAGTCTTCCTAGAATATGTATATATACCAACACATCATGCTGTACACCACAAATACATAGTTTTTACTGTCTCATACATGTCTAATTTTTCCCATGTACAAGCTTTTGCTAATGTTTTAACAACAAAATGAATCTCATCATAAAAAGCAATAGAGCTTCAGCCAGAGACATGAAAAATTGTGCTCTATTTGTGTAATATGAATTGAACTGCATTCTGCTGTCATTTATAACTAATTAGAATAAATAAAATAAATGCAAAGAGTAAAAAGCAAGAGGGCAAAAAAAAAAACAAAAACAAAAACAAGACTCTCAAGGACCTATGGATTCTTTGATAAGAGAATTTTCCTCTATTTATAAAGCTCTCACATAGTTTGCTACCTCTTCTGGCACTCCTTTTTTATGATAATTTCTCTGTATGTAAAAAAATTTTGCTGTAAAAAAAGAACGTCATAGGGCTCACCTACCAAACCAGTTTGGCTGTTCACTACTGGGAAGCAGTGGCATGTTCTGCTGTTTATAAGTTGACTACAAACTGAAATTTGTATAATATTCCTGTGTATCTACTCGATTTCCCATATTATTGCACAATTCCTTGGAGGAACATTTTATTGCTGATACATGAGGTAGGGCAACACCTTGAACTTTAGAGGACATGGAAAACTTTCCAAGGTGTCATGGTGCATTTATGTTTGGGATGGGGTGGGTGCATGTTTTCCTATTTGGAAATATATCCTCTGAGAAGCCTCTACAAAATGTTTTAAAACTATTTGCAAAACAAAGTAGTCCTGAGCACATGAGATATTTGCAACTGTATTTCTGGACTATATGCTATGAGCAAATATTTAGATCCTTAAAGAAGGAATTTAATATTTTCAGTGTAATAAAAGAACTCACAGTCTATTACACTTCAAAAAAATTGCTGTAGAGATATTTAGCTTTACAATATTGTGTTTTAAATAACACAATTTTAATCCCTTTGTATTTTCTTCATGGTTAATTTAATACTAATACACTGCAACAATTTTTTAAAGGCACAAACACAAAATCTAGTTATACAAAACAATACAAAATTTAAAGAGTGTTTACATATTGATTTACAGACTTAAACAATCCCTTTCAAAATCCTAGTTACCCATTGTTGATTTTGATCTAGAATGTCCCCCAAAGGCTCATGTACTAAAGTCTTGGTCCCCAGTGCAGCAACACTCTGAGCTAAGGCTCTGGGGAAGCAACTGGATCATGAGGGCTCTAACCTCATCAGAGGACCAATCCATTGATGGATTCACAGGTCCATTGGGAGGTGGTAGAAACTATGAGGTGGGAGCCAGTCAAAGGGAGTGGGTCCTTGGGGGTGTGCCCTTGGGAACTATATTTTGTCCCCTGCACCTTGTTTTTTCTCTCTACTTCTTGGCTGCCACAAGGTTAACAGCTTTGCTTTGCCACACCCTCCTTCCATGATATTCTGTCTCACTATCAGCCTAGAAACAAGAGAGCCAAGTGACCATGGA